TTATTTAAACTTTCCATTATTTCTGTCCATTGATGTTGCTTCCATGCTTTTACAACTAAAAACATAATATAATAAATATCCTTGTACTATATTATTGTGCACATGCTTTATATTAATTATGTATTTCTTTATTCAAACATGCACACACGTACATATAATGCACACACACACAAACATATTATTTATCTGTCTCTATCTATCATATGTCTGTCTCTAGAAGTTAGAATAAGTTCTTAGATGTGAATTACTAGGTCAAAAAATTTGTTTATTTTTAGTTAAAAAACAGTGTCTACATTGACCTTCATTGACCTGAATCAATTAATATGTCCCCCACTAGTAAAAAGCATCTTTTGCTTTTCTTATATACTTAATAAGAAAGTAAATTGTCAAACTTTATTTTTCTTGTCTATTGGGTCATTTTTTAAAATATTTCTTTAACTATTAGTGTTCATGAGAGTCTTTTTCCTAAGTTTGAAATCTATTTATACTCTCTTCTATATTCTTCTGGTCCTTTTTCCATATCCTGCCAGAAGATAAAGTGAAGCATTCAGTAGAGGTTTTTGATCCTGCCTTTGTTTCTGTTTCTTAATAGTTTGTAAAATATGCAGGATCTGATCATTTTCAGTGGTAGGAACTGCTCTTAATAGTTTCTTACCAATGAACTGTGCCTACACATGGCATTGTAATCTAAGTAATATAATGTACCAAGTTATCGCTCCATCTGTCTTGATTATGAATCCATAATTATATTTAAATGTTTCTGGCTAGGAATTGTTGACTTTTGAAAGCCAATAATGATGCCTATTCTGAAGGGAATCGTACTAAAGTCATCTTTAGTTTTTATCACTGAACAGATGTTGCCAGAATCTTTTGCAATGTGCATTTATGTGATGATCACTACCACTACCAGATACAACTTTGGTCTATCATTTTATGCTTCATTATAGGAGACATTTTAACTTGACTTTCCTATGGATTCTTACATATAGACATTAGAATTCATGAGTATACCATATTTATTTTTTAAGGGTCTTCTTTATACAAGTATCAGAACAAAATCCTGTTCACTATGCCTCCTTCTACAGGGAGAATACTTTCTTCTTGATTTATTTTATGAGCCATTTTCCCCATAGGTAGCAAGCTAGTGCCATCAGAATAAAAGGCTTGTAAGCTTTTGGCAAAGAAATAGTAATAAGTGATAAACACTAAAAAAAATCCCCGAGCAGACAAGTATTATAAACAAGTGAACCTTTTATAAAGATAAATTGTGGAAGGGTGCAGTTATATATCAGCCGTCAGCATAGCAGCTGGCGGGTCACTGGGGATGTGGTTTGATGGGGTTTCACTGTACTTACTGTGTTCACGAAGGGCCGGGACACAGGCCTACACCTCCCCTGAAGATGCTTGTGTTCTCCGTAAAACTTTCTGGACTTCCTGCTGACTCTGGTTTTGAAATTCTTCTTACATCTCCAGGAAATCAAGACATTGTTTTCTACAAGGAATGGACTTTAAGTGGTCTATTAATGTGTTACATGGTTGCTGTCGTTCCCCTCTATTGTTCCGAAGTGGATTATGGGGATTTGGGAAGCACTTTGAATTGCCACTTAATTCTGTTTTGTTTTTTTCCCTGTTATATTTCTGCTTAGAAACAAATAATGTATAATTTGACTATTACTGATGTCATAAAATAAATTAATTTAGTTTAAGACTGAATAGTAAATCAGACTGCTTTTATATCCTGGAACAAAAGGCTTTTTAGAAATTTGAAATTGCCCTTTTACTCATTTTCCAGTATTCTGAACCCCCTCGTTTATTCCCCCTGAAATTTCCCATGCAATTAAATTAAAATTGAGAGAAAAATAGTCTCTCTTTCACAGAAAGTGTTTTCAGGATAATTTTTCAAATCCCATAGCCCCACATCTTACTGGAATGTTCTCAGCTGTTGCTTCTCTGTATGCTAGTCTCAGTCACTATTTTTATTTTTTCAACTGCTCTGTTCATGTCATGACATTGTGCCTTCTGAGGTGTTTAGGTTAACATACTTCTGACAAATGAAATGAATATAAAATGTGTTCACTATAGTGGATAACTGACAATTGTAAGTTGAATGACTTAGTTGGTGTCTTAATCTTATTGGCCTCTTTGTTATTGATCTGCTGCTTAATTGTAACCATTCCTTACCCATAAACCTTGCAGTTCACTAATTCTTTTGATTATTCATTCAGCGAGAATTCGAATTCGTTATTCTTACTGTGTGTTGGACACTATTCCAGACAAGGAACAAAACAGATAAATACCTGACCTATCCTATGTGTGAGAGGGAGGAAAAAAACAATCAAAAAACAAAGAAGATATATAATATCAGATGCTGTAAAGAAAACTAAAGAAGGGCAGGAGGATAGACAATGGAAGGAGAGGTCAAGGAAGTCTTCTCAGAAGGGGTGGCATTTGAGCAGAGACCTGCATGGAGTGAGACAGCAGCCATACTTCTATCAGGTGGAAGAATATTCTAGGTAGATGTAATAATTAGAGCCAAGCTCTGAGGAAACGGTAGTTTTATCAGAGGATTGGGATCCATCTTTATCACTTCCATGTAACACTGCACCCAAGGATGAGCATGAGATGGGGATGAACATGAACAGAAGAGGCTAGAGAGAAAATATCCACTTGGCAGGGGGCCAGTTAGGTGGCAAAGGGGAATGGTAAAAGCATCTTTGCCTAAGATAAAAAAAAAGTTGTGGGGAAATAGAATCCAGAAAGTTCTTTCTTCTTTACTGAAAAATTTAAATTTAGTTGATTGCCTAAAATTAGCAATCACATTGGCATCACCAGAATTGCCATTTAAAAATTATATGTCATAGAAGACTGAATCCAAATAGCCAACACATATATAAAAAAATAAAAAGTTGCTCAAATTTGTGAGTAGTCAAGGAAATGAAAACAGTTAGAGGGACTGATGTTTTGTTTGACCTGGACTGGGACTTTTCCACAACCCAAATAGTGACTGAAAGCTGTGGGATTGCCTTAGGGGTTACCAAGGGGAGGGCATTTTATAGTGTTTGAAAACAGCAATAGGAGGGGAGAAAACAAGTCTGCTTCCTAATTGCATCTATCGAATTTAACTGGATGGGGCTGGATGGTTAGCTCAGAGAGTGGTGCTGAGAAATTCAACCTATTTTTTTTCTTCTCTCTCCTTTTTTCTTCTCTCTCCTCACCACAATCAGGTTTATAAGATCACATGATCAAGGAGAAAAATATGACAGGATACTTATCAGATTGTTAATTTGAGTTACTGGGGCAGGAAGATGCTACAGAGGAAAGTGGAAAGGGGGAGGGAAGTCACCCGAAAAAAAGAAGAAAAATACTGCAATATCAGAAAGGCTGACTGCATGAATGCATTTTTGTATGTATGTAATATCTTTTCAGAGTAATTGACACTTACGAGAGATGTAAATTGTAGTGTGTGTTGGCTGTTGTTTGGAATATATAAGTTTAATGAAAGGAATTACTAGAGACACAGAAGAAGCAAATACAGAATGTAAACCTGTCATGTTCATATTTGTGCTTGCAGAACATAAACTAGAGTTGCAAAATAAAATATGCAGTTAACAATTGGACAGTAAATGTCCAGATACATAGAAAGAAATATCTGGGTGACATGTTAAATTTTTTTTTCATCTAGATTCAATTGTAATGAACAATACAAAAAATAAGGAGTCTGTAAATCAAACATTGGTCGCTTGCTGCATGTTTTGAGTGGCTCATATATTAGGAACTTAAAGGGTTCCTTGCCGTGCTTAGGTTGGTCCTAGCAAACAGCTATTTCAGAAAATGTTTTAACTGCAGCAACAACAACAACAACAAAAACCCCTATCCTGGCAGTAGTTTGTCTAATTTGTGCATCCCTTCCTGAATTTGTTAATATGTGAGCTCCGGTCTTGATTTTCAGGTCTGGTCTTTTATGGGTAGATCTAGGGAGAAGAGACAGAGAGAGGCTTGCCTTATGACTGATGGAGGAGGGAGAGCTGTACTCTTTCTAGAGTGTTTGGCCACCCTCTGCTGGTGCCCTTTTTGACTGAACCAAGAGGTTCTTTGTCTATGATGATTAATTTGGTGGCCTCAGTTGAGTTTTAAAGTAAAAGTTTGCATTTCTTTAACTTTCTAAATTGGAGTTGTTAAAAAAGACCCAGGAAAGGGTGAGACAGTAGCAAAATGATTTGGGTATTCACTGAAAAAAATTTTAAGCCACATTTAAATGATGCAAATGAAAACACAGATACACATAATTAGAATGAAAATGATTTCATTGTTTATGTTTGTCAGCAATAGTTATTTACAAATAACCCATATGAAAATGTAAAAAAAGCATATTACATCTTCACATGCCATCTGTATTAATTGAATAAAGCTTAGTGACATTATTTGCAAATCTGTAGTTAATTGTACATACACATTTTGTGCGATAAAAAAGAAATGTACATAATTTAAAATAAATTACATTACACAATTTACAAAGTAATATTAACAAAAAATTATTAGACAGCTGCCTTATTCAAACAAAATAAATATTCAGATAGTTAAATTAACAAAAAATACATTTAGGGGATTATAATTTATAGAAAGACAGATTGCAAATTCAATAGTTATATTTTACAATAACAGATACTGATCTCCTCAAATCTCTGTAATAGAAATGGGCAAGAAGGAATACCAGAGGGGGAATCTACATGTTTACTTTCTAAAAATAAACACAAATAGATTCCTGAAAAATAGTTGGGAAAAGTTCATTGAGGATTAAAAAGTAAGTAATCTAGAAACTATTACTTTAAAAAAAAACCCTACAAAACACAACATAAAACTGACACCCAATTATATTCTAAGTACAATAGAGATTTTTGACCACTGAAAACATGACTCCTACAAACTAAAACTCTTCATATACTGCCTGTTTTAAGATGTGGCTTGGTAGAAGCATGGAAAAATAAAGCTGTAAAATTAACTCTATTCATTTAGCATTTGTTTTATTCATTTAATAACGTAGACATAACCATTTTCAGTGTCTCTTCTAGATACAGAATTATCACATCACACTGAAAAACATCCTTTTTATAGAAGAATAACTGTTTGCTAGGCTCACACTCCAGATTCAGATACCTGAAATCCTGGCCATCTGAGGGTAGGACCAGGTGAGATGGTTATTACCTGAACAGGCAGATGGTGTGGTTCTCACATCTAAATTACACATAGGAAAGATCAATCACACCCTGACAAGAGGCCTCACAGATTTGTTTCTGGACTGCTGTCCTTTCAACAGCCTTGATCTTAGAGGGGAAATAGAACAAGAAACACATTTAAGTTTGGTAATACTTTTATAAATAATGAGAGCCCAGATCATCTGGGAAGCATGGTTGTTGCAAATCTATTCAGATACCACGTTAGCCTAAGAATGGGCTCTCCTTCTGTACAGTATTGAAGGTATAGGCCTCCCTCATGGCTTTGAAAGGTGGGAAGTAAACAAAGAAACAAGAGGGAAGGAAGAGGACTAGGAGGATACCGGGCAAGACTAAAGCAGGTGCACCAATAGGTATTTTTGCAGAAAAGGTCTTTTTTTTTTTTTTTTTTACATGCCTTCTACATCTTTTCTTTCCCTTTTATTCATTTCTTTGACCAGTGCATTCTGCTTAAATTACTGTGAATTTCTGTTCACACTTTAATTCCAATATGAAGGGGATATAGGTATTGTCCTCCTTTTCTTATTAAAAATTTGGGCATGGGTAGTGCAAGGTGGTTGTAAGGGAAGTAGACAAGATTAGCTGTTGATAAGAGAGCAGGGTAGAGAGAGAGACCAGGCAGAGAAAATCATCATAAAGGACCAAGGATACAGGGAGTTGGAGGAAGTCAATAACCGTGAGAGATGCTACTTGCTTCCTATAAGAAGTAAGAAGTGACTTTATCTTGAAATGTCCAGGAACGTAACAGAAGCTGATTAAGCCACAGTGACCATGGCCAGCCAAGTCAGGGAGGAATAGGGAAAAACCAAACTCCTACAAGCATGGCCTAAGACACATTACTTATGGAGAAATACTAACCACATTTAAAAATAAATCCAGAATAAAGGGCACTGCGTTTAAGTGCTATCTTTACTTGTTAAGCATTTTGTCCTTTTGAATGTCTTAGGAACCTAAATATACAAAAGCCATTATTAATTTTTTGTACAGTGCGTAGCAGTGTCTTACTTGTTATAATTCAATAAATATTTGTCTTGCTATAAGTAATTTGTGCTTTGTTTTAAATAATTAAAAACATGCTTTTATGCACCCCTTTTCAATTAGCTTATACTACACTGTAGTGTCCTCAAAAAGACTTTGAAATGAGGATTATTGTCAAAATATTGAATCGGCATTGATGAATAAGCAAGTCAGCTCCTTTCAAGAGAGACCAGTTATGCCCCTTCTATGTTGTTTCCACCAAAACAGTCCAACAAAATCATATAACACTGTGTCAATATTTTTCTTGTCTTTCCTTTTTTTTTCTTTTAAACCAAGCAGAACTTCATACTTATAGAACAGTAGTTCTACATCTTTGTGAGCTCATAGACCATTTTGGTAAGGCAAAAGTGTCAAGAGACAGACAAGTTCCTACTACTATTTCCCTCCTGAATTCTAAAAACGAACAGGAGGAATAAGGTTCTAATGAAATTCCAGTACAGTATTTAATTCATTATTGACTCATGTTAGGAACAAAAATAAGGCCTTTTTCAGGTTAGAAACATAAATACAGTAACTTCCCATTTGTCCAAAATAGCCAGATAGCTACATTCCCTTCTTTCCACCTTTCTAACAAGAGGCCATCCAGTATTGATTTATCCTAACAATCGACTTCCAATACGTTCTCCTGTGTTAGGTCACATTCAACCTAATCTTGTCTCTATATATGGTGTAAAATGTAATCAATTTATGAATAAAAACATCTTGTATTCTTATGAGATTTTATAATTTTTGATTATAGTTTAATTCTTACTATATAGGTAGGATGATACTAATTTGTCTTCTGAATTAATGACATTTTACAATATCTTAAGTACAGTTTTAGTAGAATAACATATTCTGTTCTCCACTTCAAAATTTTTAGGGGTTGCACACATTCCATAAGACTGTTAGCTGAAAGTAACTGCAATAGATTCTTTCTCAACCATTTTAGACAAATGGAGTTTACTTTATTCGGTGAGATCAACTTGAGGATTATCTGGAAGACCCCTGAGTATATACATTGATGATCACAGTTTTAGAGTAACAATATTATTTTTGTCTTTCTCTTCAGTAAAACAGATGAAATGGATTTTGTTTTTATGGTTTTCCTTATTTAAATCCTTGTTTTAAAGTAAAATTCTCATCGTCCTGACTACCTGTTCTCTTTGAAATGATTTACTTTGCCTAATATAGTGAATACTGAATAAGGAATTAGAGTTTACTGCATTTAGTTCTCATTGAAATACATAAAAAATCTTTTCACTTTGGGGACTATGACATCCTTAATCTTTGCAAATTCACTAATGAACAGTAGGGGGAGTTCAAACTGCAGTATGAAGGCAAAATACCTTATAATCCAAACCACTTTTCAGCAACACAGCTATGCTTAAAATAAAATAACTTGTTATGCTATTTTTAAAAGACCTGAAAACCTAAGGCCCTCCCCTTTCCCAAAGGTTGTCGCAATAAACGTGGCCTTAAAAATGATATTGCTTTTCAATGGCACCTTTTGAATTTTCTTTTCATATGAAAAAAGTCTGCTAATTTAGATATTGTTCCACTGTGTCATTCCCAAGGCTACATCTGTGAAAAATATAGCTTCTCCCAATACAATGGTAAGTTTAATGGCTTGTAAATTTTCACCTTTGAAATTAAACACTGACCACAGTCAGAGGATAAATGAATAAAAACTAAAGAGGACATAAGAGAGTTAGCATTAAAAAAAAAAAAAAAAAATCTAGACCAGGGGTCAGCAAACTAGAACTTGCAAGTATGGCCTGCTGGCTGTTTCTCCAAAGAAAGTTTTATTGGAAAACAGCCATGTTTGTTCTTTTACCTTTTGCATATGTCTATAGCTGTAGTGGCATAGTGGCTGAGTTGAGAAATTGCAACATGGAGCTGGCTAAAAATATTTAATATCTGGTCCTTTACAGAAAAAGCTTGCCACTCTTGGTCTAGATATTTAATAAAGCCCTAGATAAGATATTTATTCTTTTCTTTTCAAAATTTTAGTTTTTGAAATAATACCTTACAAAGTCTGCTTCTAATTTTAGCAGTGAGAAAGACAAGACTATGGATTTTGAAATGCTGCCTGCAAGACAGACATCCAATTTGAAACTGGGAAAACAAATCGAGGAGAAAGAAAAATCAACGCATAATTTGGATTGCTATTAGTTACAAAAATCATTGATACATTATTTTCTCCATCTGCTCGAAATTAAAAAGACAACCAGTTCCTTTTTTTCTTTTCTTTTCTTTTTTTAACAAAGATAACAAATATAAAAATCTAGTCATAAACAGCCTTCAAAGAACAATTACAAACCAACTAGAGGGATCCACCTTTGGCGGGTTAATGGGTTAGGGACTTGGACACTTAAATTACCACCATGTTGTCGATTTCACAATGGCTGCAGTGATAAGGAAGAGTATGTACAGCAGGTGTAACAGCTGATTCCATCCTGTCACCATCCAAACTGAACTTTACTCTCTTCAGGATACAAGAACTTGCAAATGTCTCCGTGACACTCTCGGCACAGGTGTCTTCATCCCATATGAAAAGAGGCAGTTTCTATGGCAATATTGGTTAAGTGCCTATCATGCTGCACTAATATAGTGCAAAAATGTGCCTTCCATATAGCAAAAAAGATACAGGCAACCAGTTTGAAAATTAGGGAAAGTAGAAATGTACTGTATTAACACAAGCAAATTAGTTTTCCAGACAATAACCACTATAAAATACTGAACTTCAGGACTCTTTCTTCTAAGATACTAGTACATGTCCAGCATTCATACTTTGGAGAGAGACAAGAATGAAGTCTTATAAAAGAGTCTTTGTCTCTGAAATGCAGGTCAATAAAAGCTACCATCAACCTTCAAAATACTGAATTTATCCAATGGATTTTCTGCTCAGCTTAGAGTTTATCTCTTATTCACTGTTAAAATTATTTATTAACAGGTACATAATCTGACATAATCATGTGTATCATTCAATTGAGTATATGTGTTGTTATGCTTGACTATAGTATTGTGGAGATCTTGGTATAAACTCTTCATGCTTGAAAGCTTTATGGGTTTAACACTGCAGTAGTCAGTCTTGCAACAGGCATCCTAACTGGCCAATTCCACCACTATTTTCTAGAGATGAAAGTGGTTTTTCAGTTGGTAGATTTCAGAAAACATGACATAAACCTCTCAGAATGCAGCATGTGTTCAACTAAATTTCCTAAATTCTCAGGGTTAATGGTCTATATGTAAGTGGTACAGTCTTGAATATCCCCAGTGGCAGTATGATTTTCACTTTTATCTTTATGATGCTCTTTTAAAAAGTTAAAATGAATTTTAATCCACACAGTCTGGATACTTGTGTTGTGGCCTATGGATATTGATTACAAAGTTAGAAAGCCAAAACTGGTTATTGCGAGGAATCATTATATGTTACATGTCTGCATCCCCATCATAGGCTAAGGTTAAAGGTTTCAGTCGGTTGTTTTGCCTTCTCTGGGGTTTCTTTGGCTTTTTGCTGTAAAAAAAAATCATTAAAATTAGGGGAAAGAAAATCAGTCTTCAATTGTAAATGTTATTGTTTTAAATTAAAGAAAAAAAGGCAAAACAAATTGATAGACCTAAACTGCTTAATTGCCTACATTGCCTAAATTCAGCCTTAGAATTTGATTTTCTGGTGTCTCTGAATTTCATAGTTTTATGCTTTGAATAAACTTTAAATAAACTTGAAGTATTTTACTATCCTATAAAAGATGAATTACCCAAGTGGAATTCCTTTAGTACTAATAAGAGAAGTAATGTTATAGTATAATTATTTCTATTTAGCCAGAAATCTTTACAAATAATCCATGATTTACAAATAATACATATTTTAAAAGATAGCTGAATAAAATTAGGTGTTATCATAATCCATTATCTCCTCCAGTAGTAATTCAATATAAAAATCTACAGTTCACCATGGTCTGTACAAAGCAACATTCTCTTGCACACTTACAAAAGAACATACTTGAGAAGATGACCTCGAACAGTCCTGGCTCATCTTTAGAAACTAAATGACAGATTTGGTAGTTTTTAGGCCATCTAAGACTAAAACTATGTTTATTTAAAACTTTATGTGAACACTAAATAAATGCAGAATGCTTATTTGAGATATTAGTTTTCTGTTCCTTTGTTATGGTTTTCTCTGAAAGAGAGACATTATGTAACTCCTTAGATTTTGAAATATTTAAACACTCACCAAGCAAGATAAATCATGGAGACAATAAAGATGAGTAACACAAATGCCCCGGCTGCTACACCATAAACCCAGGTCTTCAGTCTCCCATCTAAGAAGAGTCAATATTAATTATTAATTTAGATTAGTCTAGTATATATGTGACAGTCTTTAACTATGAACTATGACCAGTTACCTATGACCAATTCAAAACTCCAAATGAATTATTGCTTCAGCATAGTTAATGATTACTGGGAAGCTGCTATTATAAGGTAGATGCTGCTTCATTATAGATAAATTATCAATGAAAATTGAACTGAAAAGTAATATTGTTTGAGTTCAGATTTCAAGTGTAGATGTCTAAATTTTTGCTGCTTCTTATCTGAATTTTACTTCAAATTCAATGTGTGTGATGCTATATAAACATTCTTCCGATTTTCAATCTATTTTGAGAATGGCAATTATAAGATGAAAAATAATGCAGTTTTAAGATTGTCCCACAACTTAGAGTTGATTCAGACAGGCATCTAAATACAGACTTAGTCATTTTAATAAATTTGTTCCAGATGAAATGAAGGTGGATATACTTAACATTTTTTGGAATTAATAATCTTTTATCTAGTCTACACTTAAGTGTGTGCTTTAATATTGGTTTGACAATATCATCTGCAAAAATAATCAGTTTGATTAACATGTGAAAGGATCTCTAAATGACTTTTTTTTCCCATACATTTTCTATTATGTGGAATCAGACATGACAGGAAATTTTCTACTTTGGTTTCCTGGTCTCATTCTCTTTGAACTTCTCAGTTTTATGTTCTGAATAGTCTTCAAGCACAAGATGCTATTAATGACATTGCCTAACTTAATTTGATCCTCACATCAACATATATTTTCTGTTGCATACATACAATTAAATATATGATATTAGTGTTAAAATTACAGATTGGGCAAAAGTGAACCCACAGAGACTCTGGTTTATTTAATATTTGAAAGGCATCAAAAGTGAATCAGTACTGTGGAATTTTTTTTTGTCTGGAGCTGGATCAATTTAGGGGCTCATTTGCTGGAAATAACTCAGTTAATATGTAAATATCCTTTCTTTTTAATCTAAATTTCTTTTAAAAATTTGAGCTCAGTTTAGAATCAAAAGAGTTGTTCCACTATTGGGTTTCTCTGCCCTGAGAGTTCTTCAGCAAATATTACTTGGGTTTTTCAAAAACAAAGAATATCTAAGTGTTATTTTTCAGAGCATGTACCTTTTTAATATATTAAAATTTTCACTTTTGGAAAACTGTATATTAAAGATAATGACAATAGTATTAATCTCCTTAAAAAACTTGTTTTGATGTGAGGATATCTGTCTGAATTCTTGGTCAAGGTCAAGATTGCTAATGGCCATTTGCTGGTCCACTGTCTTTAGTACTGAGAGAAGAGTTTTCCCATGCTTACACAAACAAGTCAGCTATGCAAAATAAATCGCATTTTCGCTAAAAACCTAATCAAGGCAGGGATAATGTGGTTGAAAGCTAGTAACCCAAATATTTAAAATACCTTAAAAAATTCAATACTGATTCTCCAATAAGAGAAATTAGAAAAATAGCGATGTGCTAGCTGTGAAAATTCCTTCTTTCCTTTCTCATTTCTAATGGAATTATGAAGCAGGTTATGCCAGGCTCTGCCGGGGAATTTCCTTTGGTCATGAACTAGTAATTTCTCCAGGGTGTGAGAAAAAGCGGCATGATCTTAGATGCTACAGAGCCCTTATAACACATTTTCAAATACCAGGTTAGTTCTAGGGATGAGTGTGTGATTAAATCCAACTGGGGAGAGAAAGTGTGCAGAGCAGAGAACAGCATTTCATCATGCCTCTGAGCTTGTGCCTGTATTGGCTACAAGTCCATTACTACATACTTTAAGAGCTGTCTGTTTAATATGCAAAAGGTCTGGTCGGTCTCCAAGTTTGAATCATCCCATCCGGAAGGGAAGGCTCCATCCCTGCTTTGTGTATCTGGTACTAGTACAGATTCTGAATATTTAAGTACGCTAACTCTGAGGGCTGAAATAAATTGGTCTGTCTACCAAGTGGCCCCTGGCACAGGACTGCATTACTCATGTTCTTATTTAATGTCCAAACAATTACCATTCTTGTGGTCCAACTAAAAATTCTAGAATGTCTTTATAGTCTTATTTGTCCCAGTTCTGAACAACAACACACTTTTTTCCTAATTTATATTTTCATTGTTTGATTTCTTTGTCCAATGTGAAATTAATTTATAATTGTAAATTTGACTGGGATTGAAATAAATAATATTTGATCCTAAAATTCTTCTCAGAAGAAAGTAATTTCATTTCTCTGAACTTTGAGCATGAGTGCTTTTTTCATAATAATAATAAAAAAATGTAAGAATAGATGGCAATATCAGAATAAAGGCATGTAGATGAAATAGTAAATAGCACATATGAAAATGCTTGCTCATTTAAAAAAAAAAAATCCTCTGGCTAAATGTATAAGTAAAGAATTCTGCATCGACACTGGCTAGATACTTCACCTGGCCCAAATGGCTGTAGAAACCAGGTCCTTCCCCGTCCTGCTGGGTTACTGGAGGGTTGGGTTGGATGTACTGCCCGACTGGTTTTCACATCTCCTCTTTTGTCCTCCATGGTGGGTATCATCACCACAGGGATAAGTGTGCACTGCTCAAGTGTACTGTTAGAAGACATGACTTCAGTGTACCCTTCTTCACAATGGCATGTTTTCACCTGCAGGAGAAAAGATTTACACTAGGCATGCAAGCTAATCTTTGAAAGCATAACAGACCTGAACTGAAGAGAAGGCTTTAAACAAGGACTGTTTGGAGAATTTACTCCATGTATTCTCTGTCTTAACTACATAAAAAAAGTGTAGTTTTTGTATTATATACAGATGTATTATAAAAGCAAAAGCACGTGCATTCAGAATTGTTTATATTGGGCCGGCCCGGTGGCGCACTGCTACAGTGCACCGCTTGGGAGCGCGGGAGGGTTCGGATCCCACATACAGACCGGTTCCCGCTCACTGGCTGAGCGAGGTGCGGGTGCAACACTGAGGGTTGCGATCCCGTTGCCGGTCCCGGTCCGGTATGGGCGCGACACTGAGGGTTGCGATCCCGTTGCCGGTCCCGGTCCGGTATGGGCGCGACACTGAGGGTTGCGATCCCGTTGCCGGTCCCGGTCCGGTATGGGCGCGACACTGAGGGTTGCGATCCCGTTGCCGGTCCCGGTCCGGTATGGGCGCGACACTGAGGGTTGCGATCCCGTTGCCGGTCCCGGTCCGGTATGGGCGCGACACTGAGGGTTGCGATCCCGTTGCCGGTCCCGGTCCGGTATGGGCGCGACACTGAGGGTTGCGATCCATTGCCGGACACGAAAAAAAAAAAAAGACAAAAAGAAAAAAAAAAAAAAGAATTGTTTATATTATAAAAGAAGGCTAAAAATAGTATTTTTATGCCTCAAGACATGCTTTTTGGTGGGGGGTATGGCTTGCACAAGAGACAGTGGGGTGACAAATGAAGCTGGTTTGCCTGCTCTAATAATTTTGCACATACCTCGCTACAGTATGAGTGGGGTTGACTACACGGTGGGTTACAAGACCTGTCAGCATCGGGTTGGCTCACCACCAAGCAGCCCCCTGCAGAACAGAAAATCATATTTTGAAAATAGCACCTCTTGCTATCATAAAAATACACTGTTGTTATAGACTTGTCTTTGACTCCTGAACCACTCTGAGAATCCCACAGATTTTTCTGTTGGTGGTTGACTGTGAAATATTTGATTAACCTTGACCAACTTATTAAGCAACTTGAGGCTTTTCTTACCGAGGGAAGACAACACAGTGCCTGGTACTTAGTAGGTGTTCAGTAAGCATTTGTCAAAAGAGTGATTTTATAGCTGCTATTTAAAAAATACTAAATGCATACAACCTATTTCTGGCAGTAGTTCTTGAAGCCAAGTCCAGCAATTGAAAAGCAGATTTAATTTTCGTTTAAAGTTAAAATTCTTTCTTGGCTATTCAAAACAATAGTTTTCATGTCCCTTGAGAGAACTCTTTAATTTATGTGACTACCACAGAAATGTATTTTTTTATAACGCATATTTCTTTTTGAGAAAATCACTATTCCTGCTAATTCAGGATAATTTGGGGGGTATAGGGAAGAAAAATGTAGCTACTAAGTTGTTTGCACTATTGTTTCAACTTGATTTTATAGCTATTTATCCCTCTTCATTTTCGGGTATAGTATCAACTATGCCTAAGTTGTTGTCAATGAAGTTTTAAGGTGGGAATGGATGTCATAAGAAACAATATTGGTGATGTGAAAGAAACTCATATTTTCAAACTAGTGATTTTTGCAAAGCCAAGTTTTGTCTTTGTTTATGGTACTGATGATCTTCTAGAATTTAATCTAAGGTGCCTATTAATTCTTTGTTTTATTGCAAGGCAACTACAGTTAAGACATGTATTTTGAAGTTATTATCATTAAACATATGAAGAAGAAAGAAAGCAGTATCTTGAGTTTCTTATACGGACAATTCATAAATTAAAGCAATTGATCAAGGTAGGTAATATACTTTACATGTGTTTTTATTTCTCATAAAGAATCTCACCTCTCCTAAAAGATGAAAGAAGAACACATACAGAGTTTATCACAAATCATTTACACATTGGCTTTTTGGTACCAAACGATATTAGAAAGAAATAAATACATTGGACATTTTACCATATTGAAAAGAAATTTAAAAACATAATTTCTATAGGTAAGTCTTTTAAAGTTTGACTTACCTTTGCATTGGGAAATAGCACCAATTGCAGTGAGAAAAGAGCTTTTAACATGTAGAATAAAAGGCAGACAAATATTATTTGCATCCACATTTGGAAAAAAAAAATGCAAACTTATAGGACCCTTTGGGGAAGCTGTTAAATTCCCTCTGAATAGTTTAAAGAAGAATGTGGACATTCGTTTCCAATGTCTGAGTTGAATGGATAACATCTATAATATCTTCTGGTTCAGAAAACTTAGGCCTCTCTGTCAAGGGCTCTTTTTACCTCATATCTCTTAGAGTGGGATGGTTAGGGTAGGTTTATCTCCCCAAAAAATAATACTGTGAGAGAGCAAAGGATTTCCTCGTAGGAGTCTTTGTATGTATATGTCCACTGGGGGATGCTGTTATCAAGGATTTCTACTTTCTCATGTTTAAAATCATATCTTCACAAAAATACAATTTGACATCCTGTTCCAGCCTTCATAGGGAGGAAATAAGTAATTAGGTTTCAATAAATCCAGGTAAGTTAAAATTCAATATTAAAACTGATACTTTTCAAAAAGCATATTGATCCCTGCTCCTGTTAGAGTACTCTGTATATTAAAGTTAAATTTATAAATGGACATTACTTAGAGGCATCCAAATGCACATTACTTTTTCGTCCCACCGGAAGATCAAAACAACAGCAGAAGTCAGCAGGGGAGCTAACGGTCAATACTCCTGCAGCCATTATGCTATGGAGATTTCTGTATATTAGATCTATAAAAATCTGTTTAAGAATAGCATTAGATTTGGGGGTCATGAGGTTGAGGCTCTGGTTCTGATTTTCATTTCTCTTTAGGAAACTTGCAGGGTCTTTGGTACATATCTGGAGCCAATTTCTTCCCCTTCAAGGGTCCTTAGGCTCCGTCACATTTATAGGACTCAGATAAAGAATCTTTTAGTAACTGCAGATTACAGTAGTTCTTTGGAAGTATATTTGGGTCAAAGTATAATCAAAACAATTTCTTCCTCTGGATTTCTTCTTCAGATGCATAATGATTTGGGAGTTGAGGCACAGTAAGTGAGGTGCTTCATATGCTGTGGGCTTGAGATTTACCAATGGGTCTTTCCTATTAATTAATAAAAAATTCTAAATCATAGATTTCTGAATTCAAGCAAGATATCTGATTTGTATAATCATACTCCCTTGGTGATATTTTTGGTCTGTATTTGTATTTACCTTCATGGTATAGATGCAGAAACAGTCAATAAACATTGTTTTTTTTAAACGAATGCATTATTAATACATATAATTTCTAGGAAAAACAATCTGTAAATTATTTACTTATAATAATAATTTTTTAGAGTTAGACATCATTTTAATTAAATAAGTTCTAGCAGCAATTTCTAAAAGGGCTAGCTGAGGAAAAACTTGAAACATTACAAAATAAAATAATTTATGATTGGTTACCAGACATGAATGAAGCTCAGGTGTCTTGAACCAAGTGCTAAATGCTGAAAGAGCATCTTTGTTTCTTTCATTATATTCTTTAACCAACTTACATGTGTGTTACAGCAAGACTTTCAAACAACAAAGAGAAATTGGAGATTTACCTGTTACATTCACACCATCTGACCTTTGACACCAGACTGTTCGGGAAGAGCCCTTCCAAGCACTGGCCATCCACTTATACTCATAACACTGCCCATCTGCAGAATCACAACAAACGTTAACAGAGGCACTCTGTTGCCCAAAAGGACAATCATGGGGATAGAGTATTAATAAAATATTTATGAACAATTGAAAAGTGTTAAGAAGTCTATTGCTGATGATTCAAATGTCTATTTATTGTCCCAAAGTTGTCATGCAAATGTTATAAAATTGCAGGTATATACCTAAGTTAATTTTCCATGTCTGCTGTCATATTTTCTGGTGGGAACCTGTGTTTTTAATTGAATTTTATGCTTTTTAAAGAGCATAATGAAATATCAAACATACATACAGGTATGGAGAATAACTAAAAAATATATTAAATTATCCATCATGCAATTTTAACAAATACTACCATTTATCCATATTTGTTTTCATTTTTATTTGCTTGTTGATGAAGAAAACATAAAAGATAAACAATATTTCACTATATTCCTTCCTGATCTGAACTCCCTCCCTATCTGTCCAGCAATACATACAAATCTGATGTAGATGTATGACTTCCTTTGCCATGCTTTTAATTCTTTTATTATGTACCTGTATATGTATATATACAAATACTATGTATACGTAAATAATATATGGAAGTTTTTAAATGTATCATATTCTATGTGTCATTCTGAAACTTAATAGTCAATGTTACATATGAAACTTTTTCATGTGAATTTTTATGTAAATATAATCAACTTATATTAACTGCTAAATATAATTCCATTATACTAAATATCACAATTTATTTAGCTATTTCCTTGATTAGGTTGTTTTTAATTTTTGCTCTTAAAACAATGGTGGTCAACCTCACGCAAGTCTCTTGGTGCTTCTTTAAGTTAACTATCTACAAGAGAAATTTCTGGTTATCACTATTTAGATAGCTGAAACTTTACTAAATATTTCTCATTTTTTTTTTTCTCCAAAAGGAGACAATTTACTCACCCACCAGAAGTGGATAAGGATTACCACTGCTCCAAACACTTGTGAAAGTTTATAATAGCCAGATTTAAACTTTTTGTCAGTCTTGTGGGTCTAGAAAGTTTTTTCCTTTTATTTATTTATGTCTTTTGTCTTTTTCCGTGTCCGGCAACGGATCGCAACCCTCAGTGTTGACCCCGTACCGGACCGGGGACCGGCAACGGGATTGCAACTCTCGGTGCCGCTCCCGCGCCTCGCTCAGCCAGTGAGCAGGAACCGGTCTGTATGTGGGATCCGAACCCTCGGGCGGGAGCGCCGCCGCGCTTCCCAAGCGGCGCACTATCCAGTGCGCCACCGGGCCGGCCCGAGTTTTTTCCTTTTAAATTGAAGTTTTTTGATTATTAAAACTATTAAACAGTAACAAAGATGTTTTGAAGCCTTTGGATTTTTCTCTTACGTAAATTGCTTATTTCCTGGCTATTTTTTTCCTACTGACATCTATACCTTTTCTCATTGAATAGTGGGAATTCTTTATTTTATAATAGTGATTCTCAAAGCATGGTTCAGGGTCCTTGGAGGTATAAGTGTGAGGATTTCCCCTTTTCAACTATGTAGCTGTGTGAATAAGGCTGGCTTTTCTTCATGTACATAAACTAAAATAAGATTGCAATAGATTGAATGCAGAAGTGATGACAGAATTCAGCTGTCTTCAAGTCAGGCTTTACAGAGATTTGCAAAAATCTAAAGCAAGATCACTCTTTTATTAATTTATTTTTGTTATGGAAAACGGTTATTTTTCAGAAAATATGCTATATATGATAACGTACAATTGGTTTATGACTGTTATTTTAAATAAATTAATAAACATTAAAAAACTATCAGTTTTCATCTTTAAAATGATAAATTTCCATGTATATACCTCACAAAAGAAAAGCTTTTTGGGGTCCTCAACAATTTTAAGTCTAAAATTGTTTTGGACAAAAATGTTTTAGATTTGCTATTCTAGACACTAATTCTTTGAAATTAATTGACTTCACAAATATCTTTTGTAAGTCTGTGGCTGGTCCTGTAACCTTGTTTATGATGTATTGTACTGTGTAGAAGATTTACATTTTAATTAAAATTTTTTCTCTACTTTTGTTTGTGCTTTTGGTGTTGTATTTAGGAAATCCTTCCTTACCTTGAGTTCTTAAAAATATTCTCATATTTTCTATAAGCGTTTTACAGTTTTGCTCTTTATTTCAGGTCTATAATTTATCTGGAATGTAGTTTTATATATTATGTAAGCTAAAGACACTTTTAAAAACTTCATATGGATAACAAATTGTAGCAACATTATTCATCTCCCCACTCATTTCCCCACTGACTTTCACTCTGCCTCTTACCTCTATATGAGAATTTGTACCTCAGATTCTCTATTCTGTTCCATTAGTCTAATTGCTTTATTGTTGACCAATCACTATTTTTAATTATTAGTGCTTCTGAGTAAGTCTTTATATAAAGCCATGTAAGTCCCTTGAATTTTTCTCCCATTTTTCCTTCTTGAAAACATTCTGGGGTCTTCATGGTCTTTAGATCAAATTAATTTTAGGATCAATTTCTCAGATTACACTAATAACCTGTTCAAATTGCACGAAATTTATAGGTATATTTATGTAAAATTGACGTATTTTAACATTGAGACTTTTTATTCATGAACATGGTCTATTTTACCAATGTTTTAATTCTTTCTTTATGTGTTCCAATAGGATTTCATAATTTTTTCCATACCTATATTACATTGTTTTTATTAGACTTGTTATAGCTTTATTTCTATTGTTAATGCAATTTTTTCTAATTAAATTTTATTACTGGGTATTGCTGCTAAAAGAAAGACAGTATTTTGTGTATTGGTTTTCATCAGCACCGCACTCTACCGAGTGAGCCACAGGCCGGCCCTATGTGTATTGGTTTTTAAACTGTACAATGCTCCTGAACTCTTTTCCTATGTCCAAATACTTGTCTATAAATTCTCTTGAATTTTTTACATGTGAAAATCATATGAGAATGTTAATTTTATTTTTTCATTTTCAATTATTAAATTGAATATTTATATTCTTCTAGTTATGCTTTGACTGGGACCTCCATTAGTAGGGTGGAAAGAAGTGGCAATAATGGGCCACTTCTTTTGTTTTGTTATTGATTGCAAGGGAATGCTTCTAATCTTTCCCATATATTGTGATGTTTGTTGTAAGTTTTGGTGAATATCATTTATTGGGTGAAGGGATTTTCTTCTAGCTCAAGTATGGTCTGCAAGTTTTTATTGTGAATGAGGATCAAATTCTATAAACACCTTTTTTCAGATGTATTAAAAATTATATTCTTTTTTCTCCTGTTAATGTGATAAATTATATTAATAGATTTTTTTAATATTTAAGCATCTTTGTATTTCTAGAACTAATTAAACTTAGTCATAATATTAATTATCTATTAAATACATTATTGATTTGTTTAGCTAATATTTTAGTTTTTATGAATTTGGCATTTATTTTCATAGGTGACTTTATTTTTATTGACTGATTTTACTGTCAAGGTTATACTAACAGAGGAATTGGAAAGATTTTTCTCACTTTTTCCCCATTCAACTTTGTTTTATTTTCTTAGCATTTCACATAAATAGAAGTTGTCTGCTTTTCTGCATTTTAATAAACTCTATTTTATTTGTGGTAGTTCCAGCTTTGCTTTGTTTTTCTTCATTGATTTTACCACGAGGTGGTCTATTTTCTCAGTTTGCTCAAAAAACAAGCTATTGGTTTTGTTGATTATCTCTTGTTCTTTGTTTTCTGTCTCACTGAATTTGTGAGACATATTGGTCACACTCTATTTCCCTTTTACTTTTTAAAAGAAATTTCTTGAGTTGAAAGCTTAGCTCATTGTTAAGTTTTCTCCCTTCTATATAAGCATTCAAAGCTTTAAGTTATTTTCTAATTACTCCTTTGCTGAATCCCATATAATGTTTGATATGTAATGTATAGAGTGTGGTTTTCAGGTTTTATTTCTGTATGGGCATGGGGGATTTCTTTTATAATTATGTTATTGGTTTCTAATTTTGTTTCATTATCATTTCGGGGTGAATAATTCTCTTTCCTGCCTTGGGAGTTATTTCATTTATTGCAACCTTTGACCTTTCTCTATTCTTTATCTACCTTGTCCTAGGCACATGGAATGTTTTATCTAGTTGATAAGTTTGAGAATATTAACTGAAAGGGGGGTAATTCTATCTGATTCTTGAGTTAAGTCATCTAGCCCATTTGGTCTTTATTCTAAATGTTCTCCTTCTCTAACATTTTAAGCTTTCTCTTCCAACTTTTTTGGGAAGAAAAATAATATTTTGCATCCTAGTTGCTCTTATATGTCATATTTCTTAATTATTTCAGAGCACAAGCAGGAATAACAGGGTTGTTTGTTGAGCTCGACATTCTTCATTAGATATCAATTCTTTTGTTTTCACTGAGACTTCCCTGGCATCCCCCAAACTATATTTTAATGCTCTTTGGTTCTTGTAAATGTCATGTATTGCCCATATTGAGTGAATCATTTTATATGTGTGTATACATACACACACATATAAACATACATGGTCTATATGTTCTATGTCAAATTTAGATTAAGATGGTTAATTCTTACCAAATAATTTGATTTATCAGTTTCTGAGAATATAGTAAAATCTATCATTTTGTTGTGGATTTGTAATTTTAAAAACAAATATATCATTAGACTTAAATTTTGTTAGACTCATTCACGATCATGATTGTCATAGTTACACAAATAACGTGCTCCTAATTATCTCAGCTTCTTTACATCATAAAACTGGGATGAATTTTTATAATATTTGACACCTAATGTATGAAGGGTGGCAGAATTTTTCTTTCTCTATGTCTTTAGAATTCAGAAGCACACCCTTAATTCAACTCTTGGCCTTACATGAGATCTTAGTAAATTTGCTTAACAGAAAATTCTTTATCTTGTGCTTTTTCTTTTTAACACAAAACTAATGAATTGTAGCACTCACCATCACATGATTTTGTTTCTAACATCTGCTCTGGGCACAGATGTTGATTTTCTAGTTCTTGTATAATCACAGCTCTGGATCGGACCTGTATTCCTCCAAAGCCTAGATCCTCACCGTTCACACAGGTCAGCTGACACAGGCTCCACGAAGACCAGTCCTTCAAATAACAGTCACCTGCAAAACACAGGTTTGTAGTTTACATCCATACCAGTAAACAGTGGCTTGACAGTCATTTTAATTCTAACGCTATTGGGTAATGTTTGTAGGTATGCTAGTTATACATATTATTTATAAGATTTAGATAAGCATTTAATATTTGCAAGTTTGTATGTAATTTTATAAGTTGGTATAAATATTGTTATTCTCTGAGTGGTTGTTACTGGTCTATGTGTTGCTTAATGATATCAAATATAAACTATGGCTTGAAGGAGCTTACTCGCACAGCTATGTAGTTAAAAGGGGAAATCCTCGCACATATTCTGAAAGAACGTCAAGATCTCCCGGGGTCGGTGATCCCATGCTTTGAGAATCATGGCTCTAGAATAAAGAATTTGCACAATTCACCTCCCTTTAAGAGTTAACAAATATTTTATTAAAACTTACCATCATTCTTGTCATTATCATAGTAAAGGGGTTTATTAAATACTTGGTAATACTAAAAAAAAAAACCTTAAATATGTATAGAGCTTCTCTTCTAGGTATTCATAATTTCAAAGGACCTTGAAGTCCAAGGCTGAGAAAGCTGGTATTTATTATTTATTATTTTATTCCTATTTCTTCCCAGAGGAGTGGAGATGAGACAGGCCATTGAGCAGCTCCAGTATTGGAAATAACACTTGCCATTTCCTTTGATCTACATCTTCAACCAACTTCCCCCTTTTTCAAGTATTTACTGAAGAACAATATACATGCAAAATGATCACATATCATAAATGCATAGATAGCTGAATTTTCACAATCTGATTATATATCCACATAATCAGCACTCAAACAAAGAAACAGAACATTCCCAGAATCTCAGTAACCTACCCCATATTATATATGAAGTCATACTATACGTACTTTTTTGTGTTTGGCTTCTTTCACTCATTTATATTTGTGAGATACATCATATATTTATGTAGTTCTCATTTGTTCATTCTTACAGCTATACTTTATCCCATTGTGTGACTATACTACAATTTAGATATCCATTGTACTATTGATGGATATGAGCCAAGTTGTAAACATTTTCTATTATGAATAATTCTGTCATGAACATTTTAGTACAAGTCTTTTGATGAACTTATATTTCTATTGAGTATACACCTAAGAGTGAAATTGTTGGGCCATGGTGTATCCATGTGTTCAACATCTTCAACCATTTTGAGAACAAGGAAGATTTAATAAAATACAATTTTCCATACTTTTCCATCCCTCAGGACTGACTTCTTGGTGACACTGTTCAGAGTATATGGTAAATTATGATAGACACAAGGGGTCTTATCACTTTAATTATTCCAGCCATACCACATGAATAACTCATATTGCCTTATGTTATGCCGAAGATGATTAACATAGCACAAAGTTGCCTGGAGATCTGATTAATAAAACAACTTCTTGTGCCATCATTAAGAAATCCTGGCAAGACATGATTTTATTAAATTGATTTTATTAAATTGGATCGTGTGTGAGATCTCAACTGAAATCAGGCCCGTTTTGGGGGCAGGTAATAAAATGGGAATTACTGAATCAGCAAAAGGTTATTATTGGCAGGTGTGGGAATGTCTAAGAAGCAATCCTTTGCATAGTTCTAGTGAGCCAGATTTCTTTTTATTTTAGTTTATTTTGATAAGAACATTTAACACGAGATCTGCCCTCAACAAATTTTTACGCATACAATACAGTATTGTACTATGTTACACAGCAAATCTGTAGAACTTACTCATCTTACAAAACTCAAACTTTATACCCTGCTCAGCTAAATAGGAGTTGCTATTCAAATTTTTTGTTTTTAAAAATAATCTTTATTTCTTAACCTGAAGTAAACAAAAATATCCATGTAAGCAAAGACCATTATGCCAGTTGACTATGCAAAATGAGAAATGCCTTCAAAGTCTAGCCAGTTCAAAGTATCAGGGGTTATTTTATTAACTGCTCTGTTTAATTTCATTCTGTTCATGTTAATAATAGACTATAGACTACCACTATTATCACCTCAAATAATTTATTTACTAAGGAATGATTAAATTGATGAGTGAATAAATGAGTAACACATGTTGTCAGGTTTTCTAACTTTTAGAGACCTGATCTCATTTTTCAATATTTTTGAAAATATGTTACCCACACTGGGCCTCCACACTTTAAAATTTTCTTAAATCATACCCTTTTATATAGAAAATATGTTTTGTACCCAACCATTTTTTTTTTTTTTTTGCTGAATCCTTATTTTCTATTTTTTTTTTTTTGAGATCTTATCCAAAAGAACACATTTCTTAAAGAGATGTATTTTTTCCTTATAATTTTAAGCAAATTGGGACAATAAACATTTTTCATTTGGGGGTAAAATATAGGTAATTTACTTCAATCTTGTTCATTTTCAATCCACTAATAAACCGTTACTCTCATATCTTTCTCAAGGATGGGTTTCCTAGCTTATTTTTACCTTAAATCTCTGCTGCAATTCTCTGTACCAAGTCCAAACTTCTAAATATTAACTTATCATTATCTGCCAATTATGTCTATACTATTTAATATACAACATTTCCTTTTCACATTTTACAGTATGCACACCTTGTGCCCAATATTGAATCTGAATAATATCTTCCAATATTTTCTTCCATAATATTATCTTCCAGTTGCAGGTAATTTGATTTTTTCTTTTTGGCATGCTTTGCTGATTCTCTATTTTTCTACATTTTACATTTTAACTATAATGTATCTAGCTGTGAATTTGTTGTTGATTCTATCCAGGACCCAGAGTAAGCTTTCATTATGGGTACTTAAATCTTTCTTTATCCATTGTGTGTTTAAACATTGCCTCTGCCTCATTCTCTATTCTCTTCTTCTGGAAATCTCAAATAGATTATGCTCAATTCTTATTTTCTTATCTTTTATTTCCACCTTTCTGGTCAAGTATGGGCCTAAGGCCATAATTATCATCTCCTGCAGATGTTAATATTCCCAACTGGTGTCAAGAGAGGCCACATGGGAAACCTGGACTTCACCCCTATCTGGCAGCAACAAGGGAGGCAGGGCCCCTCTTTACACACAGCTGCAGTGTCTAGCTGCTGGTATAGATATTACTAAATAAGAAGACTGTTGATATCCCTCAATTTCTATAGGTTGAGTATCCCTAATCCAAATTTCCAAAATCCTTCAAAATCTGTAACTTTTTGAGCTCTGATGTGATACTCAAAGGAAATGTTCACTGGAGCATTTCAGATTTCAGATTTTCAGATTAGGAATGCTCAACCAGTACGTATTCTGCAACTATTCCAAAATCTGAAAAAACCCAAAATCCAAAACAATTCTGGTTTCAAGCACTTCTGATAAGGGATACTTAATCTATACTATACATGTAACCTCTTCTTGACCTTGGGCCTGGTAATAAATCACCAAGATATGAAATCTGTTTTGCTGTTGTTACCTGGACAAGGCTGGGTGCAGGTTTCCTCCAAAACCATTTTCTTATTGCCATCTACAATGGGTTCAATGTCAGCACAGAATTCCTCATCCACCACTTTGCTGATATCATCAGCTGACCCATCACTCACGACACAAGAAATGTTCCTTGTTCTGGTCCCTTCTCCGCACTGGGCCTCCTGCAATGAAGGAAGCATTAACTAATTAGGAAAAGATAAATAATTCACCAGAAAGCTCATCACTTACAGTCATCTCTGCACCATTGATTCTGATTTATGAACAGTTAGAAAAGCATTTGAAACCCTAGGGAGGAAGCCCTGCAGGGCACCAGCTATAAAGCATGCACTGAACAATTTATTTGTTTCCTCGACAAAGACAGGCAAATAAATTTTCATTAAAATAAATCAGTCTCCAAATGATTTTGAAAGTACAGGACAGGGAGTGTTTGTTATCAAAACTAATTACATGATTATGAAATGACAAGGCACATAAAATCTTTAAAAGGAAGCTTGCCATCTGTAAGCTTTGAAACATATTTCTGAAACCATCTCTGCAGATAAAGAAAACACACTTTCATACAACTTCTTGAGATTTGATACCTGCACTTGGCACGGAGACCACTGGCCATATTGCCACCGATAACACGGCTTCACTGGGCAAGGTTTAGACTGGTCCATGAGGGAAGGGCACGGTCTTCCATCACCCTGAAAGGGCTGAGTCACTGTTCGTCTTCGGATCATTTTTCCTTTAAGAGATAAAAAGTGATGCAACTTTAATGATATGTTTTAGCTGTACAAGCATAAATCTTATTGGGAGAAGGCATCCTAGAGATCTCTCCTGAGGAAATCAGGGAACAAGTAAGGCTCCGATGTTTTAGAAAGAAGAAACCCAATCCAACCTTCTGAAGATTATCTGATATGACCTAAAACAAGAGGGACATCTTACTTCATATTCCTTGATCATCAGCCTAATGTTAATTGCCGTACAAACAAACCTGTGAGGCCACATGTTTGAGAACATTCTGACCAAGGTGACCATTCAGAAAGCTGACAGTTCACAGGGCATTCCACCATGCAGGATGTGTTCATCTGCCAGTTCTTCTCCAGGCTGAGCTGAAAGAATAGAGGTAGACCCGTTTGTACTGATACTAAGGCATGCTCACAATCTATCATCGATGGGGGAAGGAGTGAGAAAGAGAAGAGAGGAGAGGAGAGGGGAAGAGAATAAGGGAGAACAAACAAGGTACATAAGAGAGTAAGAAGATATCTGGAGGACAAGCACTCAAACTGTTAAAAGTATAATGTGGTTCAACCCAGGAGAGTGGGCATTAAGAGCACAGAATGAATGGAGGAGCCATTGGTGATATGTATTGTTGGAACATTTTCAATAAGCAATGAACAAAAGTGGATTTAATCTCCAAATTGGTTGAATTTTGCTAAATGAGGAACAAAAAAGTGTAAGCACAATTACTTCCCATTAGTTAAAAATTAAGAATATGATCAAGATCTACAATTGTCTCTTTGAGATATTATTATTTATTTTCTCATGTGCATATTAAATAGAAAAGCAAAAGGGAAAGGTTTTAAAGACAAATTGCCACTCAAGAGTAATAATTTAATATATTGAAATAAAATAGCTTTCTTTCTCAAAAGGAAATGTGGGCCTGCAGAATTTTTTTGATTATAAATATTTTATACACCGTTTTTCACAAAGGTTTTCTCTTCTAAAGCTAATATTAGCAGATAACTGTGCTATGACTCAGTTGTTTTGGTGTTAAACCTACATACATCAAATAATAATGTTCTACCATTTTACTAGCATTCAGGTTCCATTACTTATCATTTAAATATTCTACTTTAAAAATATAAGATGAAGTTTCAAATTCGTCAACTGTATATTCCAATATTTATAAAGTCTAAGGTACAAAGTATCATTGAAATAAGAAAATTTAAGAGCTTGTTAGGAGAACACAAATTATTTTTTATTAGTAATACTTGGAATTTTCAAGACTTTATTTCTGCATAAATGAGAAGTATATACTTTCTAATTTATACAGCAGAAGAAGATGGCAAAAAATTTTTTTTCTGAAACATTATGTTGTATTTCAAGTACAGCTCTTGGCTCTAAGTTATTCACTGAAAAAGGATCAGATCAATGCTTTGTATACTTCATCCCTCTGCACGTGCTGCCATTATATGCTACACCAATAATACCTTTCAGAGCCGAGTATTTGGTATGAAAGTTTTTACCACATCATTTAATTAAAGGCTCATAAAGTCTCTTAAAAGTCAGGGGAGGTTGCAGATAGGAATCTTGAGGTGCTGTGATGAAAATAATGTGTTACATTTAAGGTGGATATTAATTTCATGGAAAGTTTGAACCACAGAACTCAGCTAACACTTATTAGTGAGAGTTAAAGAGGATGTCTGTTTACAGATATTCTGGGTATCCATTGATTAGACGCTTTAATCCTGTAGCACTTTTCCCCTTACATTGTATCTCTCTTTTTACTCTCTTTCCTCTCTCATCTATCTAAACATACTTGTCTAAGTAAATTAAAAGACATCTATTCAGGGATCAAAGACTAGGAAAGGAGAAACCAACTGCTAGGTGTCAGGTGAGTAAATATCTGAAAAACATCAAAGATAAAAATAGGACTTAAACTCTAGGTGGGTTTAACCCTGACTTTCCTCTTTGTTGGGTAGTAACACCATCTTTCTTTGTGGCTGTTACCTACCGCTGTCACGCTGAATGCAGGGTTTGCACATGTATTAACAGGCAGGCAATCAATCCACTGTTTTAAAAAGATAGCACACTTTTTGGGAGCTATGGTTTAATCCTACTGCATCCATAGGGATATGTAAAATGGGACATTAACTGTTTAATCAATTCTCACAGAGAGAAGCACCATTCTCCCTGAAGACAGTGTTTGCGGACTATTAGGATTAAACTCCCTAATTGTCACTGCAGTATTCAAATATTATAATATTTACACATAACAGTGAACTTATCTAGGCTCTCAGATGATAAAAATTAGTTATTTCTCAGGTTTTTACTCATATTTCATTTAAGAAATCAAGGACCCTATTTATACCTTTGTCGTTTAGTCATATGAAATAGTTTAAAATCGGTCATGTATGATTTGGGTTCAACTTTCAAAAAGCTCTCAGAGCTTTTCATTTTCTACTTCATTCTGACCCAAAAGGGCATTTATGTGTACATTTGCAAAAAGAGAGGAATATTAATCAACTAGAAGTAGATCACAGAAAGCTCTCTAGCCAATATGACTATAATAATTTTCATTGATAATGTTATTTTTGAAATGGTTACATCGCTTCATTGTTATTAGCTTCAAAAACAAAATCACTCAGGTATGAAATTTCCAATTATCTAAATCTAAGGTGTGAATAGACTAAGTTATGTTATAAGATTACAGTGGAGGACGTTTATTAACTAAACAACTTGATGTTTTTGGCACATCTGGGGGCTGTGCTCCCACGATGGAGATGAAAGGGAGTTAATTTAGGTCCACATGATAAAGACATCAAATGAATTAAAGTACTTCCGTCTAGAGTTTTCTCTTAGCATTTGAAATTATTTACAGTGGGCTTATAATAACCCCCAGGATGTGCAGACAGAAGTTGTGGTGAGCATGTCTACTGAACCCTAATGAGGTTATAAGCTCTTCCTAGTCTACTCCAGATCTATTGAGGCTCTTGCTTATCTTGGTTCGTATTTGACCCAGTGGACCTCAGATTCATGGGCAGTCAAAACTTGTCAGGAATGTGAGCACCTTTCTGGTATGGAAATCAGACAAATTTATTACAACATGCAGTGTAGCTTCATGAAAATTAAGAGAAGCCAACAGCTACGTTTCCTTAATTTCAGAACGTCATCTCTAGAAATAATGACATTACTTTAGTCAATTAGAGAATTAACAGTTAATAATTCTGTGTACCTAAAAGATAATAATGGTCATTCCTCTGTTTGAATTTCAAACTCTCTCTTATCCAGACCTGAGTACTTAGACTCTCACAGCTGGGTATTAGATCCTAATATCAAAATCTGCTACCAAACCACATGTGATCAATGTTTAGCAACAGAGAAAATAAATGATGGATTTTGGCAGGTGTCCCGGGCACTACACAAAACTCACATCAAATTACAAAAGATGATGAGTAGTCTGATTAAGATTTATTGTCTTTATTTACCTAGATTTTTTATTGTTCCCCAAGCATTTCTTTCAGAATAGCCTAATTAGCATACCTTTGGGCTTCAAGTAGAACAAAATACAGGAAATTATACATAGACATCAGTAGTTGGACACTGTCTCTTTTCAAGAGGGTACTTAGCCTGTGAATAGTGCAGAAAAACATCTGCTGGCAATGAGCTGCATGGAGCACAGGTCGTTTGGCTCAGCATGAATTGAAATTATTAGGGAAGAATTTACTCACAATATAACACAGCCTCCACCCACCTCTTCACAATAGTTCAGGTCAACCGACTTTCCATCACTTCGAACACAATCCAACATCCTTGTTTTAATGCCGTTTCCACAAACTGCCTTCTCACTGAGCTGACATGTACTCCAGTCTGAAAGGAAGGGAGCCCATCAGAACAGAAGGCTATGTATGAAACAGATTTCAAATGCAACTCTGATGATCTGAATCCCATATTTAATTCACAACTGCTTCCTAAGCCCCACAATCAATCATGCCCCATGCAGAGCATATGGGTCCCAGCTTTGTACATATCAGGAGTCAAATGGAATTGCTGGGTTTGCACATAGCTACAGGGATTATTCTTGAAGGCAGATGTCTACTTGACAATCTTGGTAGCTGACCGTTTGGTGATATTATAAAAATGGCTTTGGCCTCCACAAACTTTTTTCCTAATAAAAAGGAAAATTTAAAATTTTGCATTATTTTTATTTTAGCAACATAATCATAATTTTAGTTGATGGTGTTTTAACTGTGTAGTTATATTCATATAAGTGAAATAAAACACTGTATTTCACTTATTGTCCAAATTTAGAATGCTTTAAAATGCACACTTATTTGTTTCAAAAATCACTTTGGCCATATTTATTTAATTCTCTTATTTTATGCCTTTTGCAAAATAGTTATTTTATCTTTTTTTCCAGAGTAACATAGCATGTCCCAGGGAATATTAATTTCCTTTGTGTCATGAAAGGAAATTGAAGAGGAAAACCAGAAGAAACAAAAAGCCAGTATGACTTTTATGTGTCATTGTACATATCTTGAGTTTGTTTCAGTGTGAACATTTCTTGGGAAAAATTCCAAAGCAAGCTTTGGTATTGTACTAAATCAATGAAATATCTTCTTTCCTAGGGTATGTGTCTTGGTGACATTAAATGAGTTTTAGGGAGAAAAATGAAATTTACAAAAAGCCTGTTTTTCTGAAAAATACTTTTCTATTTTCGTCTATCCTTTTATAACATTGATTTATAATCTTTGGCAAGTTTAAGATTGCTGACATTTTTATATCTAATCATATTTATAAACTGCCCACATACCCCAAGAATTGTTGCTCCAGTATGTTATAGCAATTAATCCTCTTCTAAAAAAGAAAGGCATCTTTCAATAAATCTGAAACCTGTGGTAAAAATATTTATTTTAATTTCATCCTCCCAAACTGGGAGGATGTCTTGAATAGTATCACTTAGAATATCCACAGCCTACTTTAAGGGCTAATGTCTGTGTGATATTTTCATCCTCTATATCTTGATGTTTATGGAAATATAAAACAGATAAATATTTCTGTCATTTAATAAATAATTACTTCTGGGAGAATCAGCAGCACGTCCATAAGGACACAGATGAAGATAAACTCTACTGATGGAACGCTTCATAGCTGGCAGACGCGAGATAGCCTTTACCTCTCTGATCAGATGACTAGTCATGTACCTGTGACATTATAATCATAGTGGTAGCAGTTTCTGTTCAGGTTACAAGGTTCCTTCTCCACAGCATCAGGGCAGGATCTTCCTTCATCAGCAGGTTGTCTGATGGGATCAGCTGACCTCTGCCGGAAACTGCTTTGATTGCAAGGCTTACAAAGAACAATAAAATTCCTCAGAAAGGTGAACGCCCAGCCATGCAACAGCTAGAGTACTAGGGAGAGCGCTGGAGCAGGACTTAAAACATCTGGGCCACTGGCTAACTTGAACAAGTCAGTTTTTCCATGTATAAAATGAAGGTATTGGATGAGATTCATCCAGCTCTAAAATGCTTAAGATTCTATGCATCAAATACTAACACATACATCCCTTCATACCTACACAAGCATGTGCATATGGTCATATTCATTATTATAAAATGTTAATTCTATATATAACAATTATATATATAAATGAGATATATAAATCCTATACATAAATTTTATATATAAATCCTATGTACAAATTATATATACACATAACTTATATACACATATATAACATAATCTCTTGGACCTGAAAAAACCACTTTAAGGGTGACTTTAAATAACCAACTAGGTGTTTGATGGACTTTGGAAGTGTTGTCCCTTCCAAAACTTATGTGGAATTTGATCCCCTATGTGACAATGTTGGAAACTGATTGAGTCATGGGGGTGGATCCCTCATGAATGGATTAATGCTCTCCCTGGGGAAAGGGGGATTAATGAGTGAAATCTTGCTCTATTAGTTCCCGTGAGAGCTGGTTGTTTAAAGACCTTCCTGGCACCTCCTCTCTCTCTCTCTTGCTTCCTCTTGCCATGTGATCTGCTTGCACCTGCTGGCTGCCGGCCGCTTTCCGCCATGAGTAGGCCTCAGCCTGAGGCCCATGCCAGATGCAGCTGTCCCAGAATCGTAAGCCAAATAAACCTCTTTTCTTTATAAATTACCCAGTCTCAGGTATTTGCCATGTGATCTGCTTGCACCTGCTGGCTGCCGGCCGCTTTCCGCCATGAGTAGGCCTCAGCCTGAGGCCCATGCCAGATGCAGCTGTCCCAGAATCGTAAGCCAAATAAACCTCTTTTCCTTATAGATTACCCAGTCTCAGGTATTTCTGTTATAGCAACACAAAATGTACTAATACAGTGTTAGTGACTTTTGTTTTTCTAATGCATAATACACATTCACAAGAACATTAGGATCTAAAAAGGCTGGTAAAGTCCCCTGAAAATATTTGGTTTCTAAGAACAGGAAGCAGCCAGAGATAAGCCTCATTGGACTTTTTCAGGTCTAAAATAATTGTTTCCTTCTCCTCTTCCCCCATTGCATCTTGCTCCCACCACTGGCATAACACATACTGTTTTTATATAAGGTGAATTATGTAAAGGCTTGTTCCTTTCTGCAGAGTGAATACACTGAGAGCAGACTTAAGTCTTATGTATCTGTGTATTCTCTGCACCTCACACAGTTCCTGGTGGGACAGTAAATGCTTAACCAGTGTTGTTTAATGAAGGCCTAAGTGAGGAAACAAGATGAATTAAAGGTAAAATATAAAGCCTAAGAAGCACAGTAATTCAACCAGTTGAATTTTATTCTCATTTCAAATATTTCTATTGGCAAACTCTCAGGAACACCAAGTATGTTAAATGAACTCCTCTTTATTCTTCTAAGACAATTATCCTTGCTCATTTAAAACAGAAACCAATGGGCAAAGTTCCAGTTTAGTGGGTCCTGTTATTCGAACCCCTGTTAATAGTATACAAAGGGGCCCAGGTTCAATATTTTCTACTTTATAAAAACCTGTGACAATAAGAATCTCACAATTGTAAACACAGAAACCGTAGAATGTAGTCCAACTATTTGGGGGTAACTTAAAATCTGATACTACGGAATTAGAATAGAAAATCATTTGCAGACCTTTGTGAAACTGATTCTTTATTGCAATTTTACCTGTATTCAAGTCAACTGCCAGCCCTGTTTTGCTCCTGCTGTATCAGTTGGCTACCAATCAGCATCTTTAGTAACATTAACAGTAAAAGGAAAATCAATTTCTCTTTGGAAAACATGTACCATAAACTCTTCTTTGAAACTGTCCTATATGGAATTTCAACAAATTAATTCCACATTACATGTATTTTTCCCATGCTTTTGATACTATTTTTGAAATGTACATCTTTACAAACATCCCCAAGGGTAAGACAAATTTCCTAATAAGCAGCCAGCTCTGTTTCAAAGGACTCTCTTCCCAGAGCCTCTACTATCTGTTGAAATCAAGAAGCTTTGTGTGAGTTGAAACTCTCAGCTGTCTTTCCAGGCCTGAAGAAACATAGAATCAGTGTATGGAAAGAGATTCATTGATGTGCAGCTTTCTTCTTTCTATTCAGTTTCTTACCCAGGATTTTTAGCTTTTTAGAATTAATATGCCTGCTGTAGTACCTCCACTGTGTGAAAGACTATTCCTACCATTTAAACAAAATGAATCGGGCAAAAAGCAAGGGATGATAATAACCTGACACCATTAAAATACCTTTACTAGAGCTTCATTCTTTTTCTCTTTTACCTGGACAGAATTCAGCATTGTAGTTTATAACAGGTTGTGATAGGCACAGCCTAACTAAGGCAAACTGAAGGCATTGTGCTGGATTAGGAGGATGGATTGAGAAAGAGCCTAAAACTTGCAAGGGATTGAGCTGTTCTACTGGGAGAGGAAGAACTGCTGACTTTTTTCCCCCCTCTCTACCCCCTTCCCTCCCTTCTACATCATATCTGTTCACTTGACTTAAAAAGTTCAAGGAATTTTTGTGATTGTTGTGTCTTCTCCCCCCCATTTGTCTGTGTGTTTATTTACTTATTTATTTATTTTTAGCTCCCACAAATAAGTGAGAACATGTGGTATTTCTCTTTCTGTGCCTGACTTGTTTCACTTAATATAATTTTCTCTAAGTCTATCCATGTTGCTGCGAATGGTACTATTTTGTTCTTTTTTTATAGCAGTGTAGTACTCCATTGTGCAGATATACCACAGTTTCCTTATGCACTCATCTGATGATGGACATTTGGGCTGGTTGCAACTCTTGGCTATCGTAAATAGAGCTGCAATAAACACTGGAGTACAGGTATCCCTTCAGCATGATGATTTCCATTCCTTTGGGTATATTCCCAACAGTGGAATAGCTGTGTCATATGGTAGGTCTATATGTAATTGTTTGAGGAACCTCCACACCATTTTTCATAAAGGCTGCACCATTTTGTAGTCCCACCAACAGTGTATGAGAGTTCCTTTTTCTCCGCAACCTCTCCAGCATTTATTGTTCTCAGTCTTTTGGATATTAGCCATACTAACTGGAGTGAGGTGGCATCTCAAAGTGGTCTTGATTTGCATTTCCCACATGCTGAGTAAAGTTGAACATTTTTTCTATTCGACATTCTTATACCTTCCTTTGAGAAATGCCTATTCAGCTCTTTTGTCCATTTCTTAATTGGGTTATTTATTTTTTTGCTGTTAAGTTGCTTGAGTTCCTAGTATATTCTGGATATTAATCCTTTGTCAGATGTGAATTTTGCAAATACTTTCTCCCACTCTGTTGGTTGTCTGTTTATTCTGTTGACTGTTTCATTTGTTTATTTTTTCCCTTAGTTGCCTGTGCTTTTGGGGTCCTATTCATAAAGTCTGTACCCACTCCTACTTCCTGGAGTGTTTCCCCTATGTTTTCTTTAAGGAGTTTTATTGTTTCAGGATGTACATTTAATTCTTTAATCCATTTCAAATTGATTTTGGTATATGGTGAGAGGTACAGGTCTAGTTTCATTCTCCTACATATGAATATCCAGTTTTCTCAGCACAATTGTTGAAAAGGCAGTATCTTCCCCAGTATGTAGACTTGCTGCTTTTGTCAAAGATTAAATGGCTGTAGGTGTATGGATTGATTTCTGGGTTCTCTATTCTATTCCATTGATCCATTTTATGCCAGTACCATACTGATTTGGTTATTATAGCTTTGTAATATAGTGTAAAGTCAGGTAGTGTTATGCCTCCAGCTATATTTATTTTTGCTCAGCATTGCTTTGGCTATGTGTGGTCTTTTGTTATTCCATTAAAATTTCTGAATACAGAAAAATTTCACTGGAATTTTGATGAGGATTGCATTGAATCTGTAGATCACTTTGGGTAATATGGACATTTTCACAATGTTAATTCTTCCTATCCAAGAGCATGGGATAACTTTCCAATTCTTGAATCCTCTTTAATTTCTCTCAACAGTGGTTTGTAGTTCTCTTCATAGAGATTTTTCACATCCTTGGTTAGCTTTATTCCTAAGTATTTTATTTTTTGGTAGCTATTGTAAATGGGCTAGCTTTCTTGATTTTTTTTTCTGCATGTTCACTTGTGGAGTATAGAAATGCTACTGATTTTTGTGTGTTGATTTTGTATCCTGCAATTTTGCTGAAATCACTTATCAACTCTAGGATTTTTTTAATAGAGGCTTTAGGCTGTTCAATATATAGGATCATGTCATCTGCAAACAGGGACAATTTGACTTCATCCTTTCACATCTGGATGCCCTTTATTTCCTTCTCTTCTCTGATTGCTCTGGCTAGTACTTCCAATACTGTGTTGAATAGGAGTGGTGAGAGGGGGCATCCTTGTCTAGTTCCTGTTCTTAAAGGAAATGCTTTTAGATTTTCCCCATTCAGGATGATATTGGCAGTGGGCTTATCAGCTATGGCTTTAATTATGTTGAGATACTTTCCATCTATGCCTAACTTGTGCAGAGTCTTTATCATGAAAGAATGTTGAATTTTGTGAAATGCTTTTTCAGCATCTATAGAGATGATCACATGGTCTTTGCCTTTGCTTTTATTGATGTGGTGTATCACATTTATTGATTTGCATATGTTGAACCAACCTTGCATCCCTGGGATGAATTCCACTTGATCATGATGTATAATTTTCTGTATGTGTTGCTGTATTCTGTTAGCTAGTATTGTATTGAGGATTTTTGCACCTATATTCATCAAGGATATTGGCCTGTAGTTTTCTATTTTTGATGCATCTTTGTCTGGTTTTGGTATCAGGGTGATGTTTGCCTCATAGAATGAGTTTGGGAGAATGGCCTCTGTTTCAATCTTTTGGAACAGTTTGTAGAGAATTGGTATCAGTTCCTCTTTGAAGGTTTGATAGAACTCTGCAGTGAACCCTTCCGGTCCTGGGCTTCTCTTTGTTGGGAGCCTTCTGATAACAGCTTCAATTTCTTTTACTGTCATTGGTCTATTCAGGGTTTTGATATCTTCTTGCCTCAGTTTTGGTGGTTTGTATGCATCCAGAAATTTAGCCATTTCCTCCAGATTTTCAAATTTGTTGGCATATAGTTGTTTACAGTAGTCTTTTATGATTCCTTGTATTTCTGAGTTGTCAGTTGTAATATCACCTTTTTCATTTCTAATTTTTGTTATTTGGGTCTTGTCTCTTCTTTTCTTAGTTTACCTTGCTAAAGGTATGTCGATTTTATTTATCTTTTCAAAAAACCAACTTTTTTTTCATTGATTTTTGTATTGTTTTTCAAGTTTCTATTTCATTTAGCTCTGCTCTGATCTTGATTATTTCTTTCCATCTACTGACTCTGGGTTTGGATTGTTCTTGTTTTTCTAGATCTTTAAGATGAAGTTTAGGTTGTTTATTTGCCATCTTTCCATTCTTCTGAAGTAAGCATTTAATGCAATAAATTTCCCCTTAATACTGCTTTTGCAGTATTGCACAGGTTTTGGTATGATGTGTCATTATTTTCATTAGTTTCAAGAAATTATTTGATTTCCTGTTTAATTGTCATTAAGTAGAATGTTCTTTAATTTCCATGTGTTTGTATAGTTTCCAGAGTTTCACTTATTATTGATTTCTAATTTTAATGCATTGTGATCAGAAAAAATACATGGAATAATTCCAATTTGTTTGAATTTGTTGAGACTTGCTTTATAGCCTAATATGTGATCTATCCTGGAGAATGTTCTATGTGCTGATGAGAAGAATGAATATTCTGATGTTGTTGGATGGAATGTTCTGTAGATATCTGCTAGGTCCAATTGGTCTAAAGTGTTGCTTAGATCCTGTGTTTCTCTATTGATTTTTTGCCTAGATGATCTGTCCAATGATGAGAGTGGGGTGTTCAGGTTCCCTGCTATTATGGTGGTAGTGTCTATCTCATTTTCTAGATCTAATAGTGTTTGCTTTACAAATCTGGCTGCTCCAATATTGGGTGAGTATATATTTATGATTGTTATGTCTTCTTGGTGGATAGATACTTTTATCATTATATAGTGACCTTCTTTGTCTCTTTTTATGGTTTTTTCCTTTAAAGTCTATTTTATCTGATATTAGAATAGCTACTTCAACTCGTTTTTCATTTCTATTTGAATGATATATCTTTTTCCATCCTTTCACTCTTAGTCTATGTGTGTCTTACAGATCAGGTGAGTCTCTTGAAGGCAGCATATTGTTGGGTTCATCTTTTTAATCCAGTCAGTCAGTCTGTGTCTTTTGAGTGGGGAATTTAATCCCTTTACATCTAGAGTTATTATTGAAAGGTGTTGATTTACTCCTAGCATTCCATTGATTTTATTTAGATGTCTTAAGTACCTTTTGTTCCTTTCTTTCTAATTTTCTGTTTGTCTTCTGTATTTGTTGGTTTCTTGGAGTGATAGATAAACAATTTTTTCCTCTTTTGTTAGCATTTTTGTTCTGCTAGTAAGTATTGTTCTTTCTTGAGTATTCATGGCAGTGATGGTTGTTTTTGTGGTGTCAAACCCAGTACTTCCTTGAGAATTTGTTGTAGGGCTGGTCGTGTGGTAGTGGACTCCTGCAGTTTTTGTTTTTCTGAGAAATATACTATTTGTCCTTCATTTTGGAAGGATAGCCTTGCTAAGAAAATTATTCTTGGCTGGCAATTTTTGTCCTTTAGTGTTCTGAATATATTATCCCATTCTTTTCTGGCTTTTAGGGTTTCTGATGAAAATTCCGATGTTATTCTGATTGGGGCTCCCTTATAGGTGACTTGACGCTTCTCTCTTGCAGCTTTTAAGATTCTCTCTTTGTCTGAGTTTTGCCAGTTTGATTATCACATATCTTAGAGAGGACCTTTTTGGGTTGAATGTTTGGGGATCTTTGGGCTTCCTGAATCTGAAGATCTGTGACTTTCCCTATACCGGGGAAGTTTTCTGCTATTATTTTATTGAATATGTTTTCAATACTGTTTCCTTTTTCCTCCCCTTCTGGAATACCCATGATTAGGATATTTGAGCAGTTAAGGTTGTCTGTTATCTCTCTTAGATTTTCTTCAATTTTTTAAATTCTTTTTTCTGGTCTGTCTGTGTTAATTCAAATAGCCTGTATTCAAGGTCTGAAATTCTCTCTTCTGCTTGTTCTAGTCTGCTGGTTAAACTCTCTGTTGTGTTTATTATTTCATTGAATGAATCTTTCAGCTTCACAAGCTCTGCTACATTCTTTTTCAAGCCATTGGTTTCTTTGTACATTTCTTCTTTCAGATCCTGTATACATTTTCACATTTCCTTGTGTTGTCTAACTGAATTTTCTTGTATCTCATTTAGTTTCCATAGAATTGTTACTCTAAATTCCTAGTCAGTCTTTTCAAAGATTTCCTGTTCTATGGGATCTAGCACTTGAGAGTTATTATTTTCCTTTGGTGGTGAAGTACTTTCTTTTTTTTTTTTTTTTTTCCTTTTTGTCTTTTTTCGTGTCTGGCAACGGATCGCAACCCTCAGTGTCGCACGTGCACCTCGCTCAGCCAGTGAGTGGGAACCGGTCTGTATGTGGGATCCGAACCCTCGGGGGGAGCGCCACCGCGCTCCCAAGCGGCGCACTGTAGCAGTGCGCCACCAGGCCGGCCCCAGTGAAGTACTTTCTTGATTTTTCATATTTCTGGTATCTTTCCTTTGGTGTTTTGTCATTGTGGCAGGGGGTATCACAGTCCACTCATTTCACCCTGATATCTGGCTTGGATCCTGATGAGACTGCTGATTCTGAGCAGCAGAAACTAGCCTGGGCTGGGGGTCCCATGGCTCCTGCCTATTCTGGGACAGCTGGCTCGGGGTGTGGGGGCCCCAAGGCTCTTTGTCTCTTGGTGGCAGAGACCAGCCTGGGCTTGCGGTCCCATCCTGCCTGCCTTCTCTGGTATGGCTGGCTTGGGGTGTGGGGGCCCCAAGGCTCTTAAGTCTCTCCTAGCAGTGGGGACCAGCCTGGGCTGGTGGTCCTGCTCTGCCTGCCTTTTATGGCACAGCTGGCTTGGGGCGTGGGGGCCCAGAAGCTCTAAAGTCTCTCTAAGTGGTGGGGAGCAACCTGGACTGGGGTCCTGCGACACATGGTTCCTGCCTGTTCTGGTGCAGATCTCAGGCCTTCTGTCATTGCTCCTTAATAGTTGCAAATTGGTCACTTTGTGGGAGTGACACCAAGAACTGACTACTCCACCATCTTGACCAGAACTGAAGCACTGCTGACTTTAAATGGCACAGTCACAGAAAGAAGTGGCTGAGAAACCATACCTTGCTTTGATAAATATGGCACCAAAACAGATATTATGTTGAAGTTGTTATATTTTCTTAATAATATCTTTTAAGATTTAGTGGTAAGGATTTAAGCAAATTCTATATTAATAAGATGGTTAATCATCTCACCAAAGCACATCTGGTCCATAGACTCCATTCAGATATCACACAGTCCTCAGGGCATGGTAATTTGCACTCTCTAGAGCCCAGGGGCATCTCTTCTGGGTCACAGAGGTAATCCTCTACCTGTTCAGAAGGGCCATCTGCTGTATTCTGCATGCATCTAGAAGAGAACATACATATCTTCTAGTAAACATACATATCTTCTAGAAATAAAGGAACTAGGACAATTAAAATAATGGCCAATTCATAGGATAAGTGGTTTTCCTTAAGACATCATGGGGGTGGGGAAGCAGGAAGCTTTGTATCTAATGAATAAAATTCTCCAAAAATGAAGACTTAAAAAGATCTCTGCCTCCCCCAAATATCTGCAGTGCTTCTGCACTTGCACGCACAATCATAACCTTTTAATACAATAGCCACTGTATAGGTGTAACTCTGTATGTCAGGTGAGCTTCCTCTGAAAGGAGAAGGTCATTTACATTCAGATGTGAGGCAGAAACTAATGAGGAGCGGTCCAAAGAGATTCATAGAGGCATTGCAATTTGGCATACAATGCATTTTTTCTTATCACAAAAATGATGGATTCCGTAGAGAAGGTAGAGTTGATTCATATATGATGGAAGACTAACCATACCAAAATCTCTAAACTAGAGGTTTCATTAAGTGTTTTTCAAAGATAACTGGAAGCATTTATCAATTTGATTTTTCATTTTAAAAGTAATTTTAGCCTCCTATCTGCTGCTAACATTAAAAGAAAGCCAGAAGTGAAAAGACAATTATAATTGTGATAGTACAAATTCTGTAAGTGTGGTTATGCGGATCTTCCTTTATCTTGACCTTTTTTGTCGTTGTTAGTTTTCTCTGTAACAGAACAGATTCAAACCTTGTATTTCATATTACTCTGTTGCAGGCAGTTATGAAGGCTCTTTACCCATCTTTTGGGAATCTAATTAATGTGACTATGTAGAGCCGGGACTCGTTGGAATCCTGCTGACAAGGCCAACTACAGAGCCACAGGACACGCCAGCTGTCATGCTCGGGCGGGTCCAGAACTCACAGACCCCTCAAGCCCGTTCACAGACTGGGTCACAAACACTCCACATGCCAGGCTGGGTCACCAGACCCCTCACACGCCAGGCTGGGTCGCCAGACCCCTTACATGCAGGTCTGTGAGCTAGGTAACCGACAAACATATCCTTGGAAGCCATAGGTTCGAAAGCATGGCTGCGCAGCGTCCCCCGAGGCAGTAAACTCCAGCCCAGCTGGCAGTGCAAGGCCGGCGCACTAACTCCACCCACACACAACCTGCCCACAAAGAATGCTGCACCAACCCAACCTGCCCCAGGCGAGGGGTCTGATCAAACTATCCTATTTTCCCAACAGACTAGTACCAGACTTTACTTTTACTGTAGTTAATGATCTCTCTGGAAAAACTTTATCCCTCATCAATAACCCGGAGAAGGTCAACCAAATTAACAGGCTTGGGAAGACAACTGCATTGCAGGAGATGAAAAGGAAGGCTTGAGCTCTTAAGCCTCACAACCCCATTGCAATGTTTTAAAATGTCAATTGAATTACATTACAGGTTACACCTGGAATCCCACTTTTCTCAGGGATTTACAATCATAGGGACATTGCATCTTCACAAATCTACTCTGCTTCTATACAGTACTGTCAAATTTAAGAGAAATGTCCTATTCTTGTGGGATAAATTCAAAGACTGGAAATTATGCAGTTAGTTATGTCTTGATTGGGTTTGTAGCCTGGGAAAAAATATCCATATAGATACTTATGTCTGCAGTTTTTTTGTTTATTGGATAAATATATAAAAAGCAATCATAAAAACATGCAGAGATAGATATGTGATTTCATTGTTGAAAGAAAAAAAGTCAAATTATAAATCTTTTTGGGAGAATTTTAGTTTCCCACAAAAAAGTTGTACCTTCAAATGGGATTTAAGAAATGCTTTGTTGACAGCAGCTTAGAACATGGTACAAACAGGACATTTCAGTGCTTAAAAGTTGGATCTGATGCTAAGAAGAGATTACATTCGGGCTGGCCCGGTGGCGCACTGCTACAGTGCGCCGCTTGGGAGTGCAGCGGTGCTCCCGCCGAGGGTTTGGGTCCCACATGCAGACCGGTTCCCGCTCGCTGGCTGAGCGAGGTGCGGGTGCAACACTGAGGGTTGCGATCCGTTGCCGGACACGAAAAAAGACAAAAAGGAAAAAAAAAAAAAAAAAAAAGATTACATTCACGGTAAGTACTGACACAGTGTGCATGGATTAACTTGAGAAATTACCCATTGATTCAGAGTTAAGAACAGATATCCAATACGCTATCAAGTAGTTATGTACATAAAACTTCATTTTCAAAGGCTTTTCTCTTCCTTTGATTTTGTATTATGTAGGTAATATATTCATTAGTAAAATCAGAAGAAATGATAAAATCCACATAATTTCATTATTCATTGACAACCACATTTAACAGATTTTATTTATTTAAAGACTATTATTTTAAACATATATTTTCATATTATAAAATAGGACCAAACTTTACCTATTATCTTTACCATTTAAAGAAAAAATCAATAATACATTATAAACATCTTGTGTCATTAGCTATTTTTCTGAGATTTATTTTTAATGATTACATTTGAATGACATCACTTGAATGTACCATAATTGCTAAACAAAATCTTTTGTTTTTTGGCATTGAGACAACTTTTACTTGGTATTTTATTGGGTTTTAACAATTTTTTTTTTATCACCCTACAATGTAGAATAAATATTTAAATCAAGTTTTGAGCCCAAAGGAAAACACTTTAAATTCATTTGCTTTTTTCAAATTCTTGGTCTTTTTCCTTTCCTAGGAGCAAGAATTATGCTGTAAGAAAATTGAACTGTACTAGAAATACACAGTGCAGAACCATGCTGGAGGTGAAGGGTGGGGGTCAGAGGCCCACCACAGGCATGGCTATAAGACGGTGCATCATCTGCAGATAATTCAAAAGCAACAGCAATAGTAACAAAATGTGTCTGTTTGTTATTATCACCATGTGCTAGTAATTCTAAAAAAGTCAGTGAAAAAAATATCCCTTCTTATCAGAGCAAACCATTTCTACTACCCACTCTTGTTATGACATGCCAGCCTAAAAGAGGAAGAAAGAGGTTGGATAAATTTAATTCCACTCTTTTATAGACTCGTCTTTCTGAAATGTCATCCATGGCTTCCTTTTAAGCAGGACATTTTGACCTTAATTAGTACAGGATAAAGTTAGGGCAGTGTAGTACTCAATCAGTAACAAACAGGAACATTATACATGATCAGAGATAACAATCAATACTGACCTTCTCTTTTCTCTATTTGCATTTAAGATGTTTAGTGAAAAAAATAAAATTGATCTGAAAAGGTACTTTGCTTAGAATGTGTTTGGAAATGTTGAGAATATCTATGTATAAAGCAAAAGGAAGCAACGTATACACAGATAGTTGAAGGGAAAGCTGAAAAAACAGTAGTTCCGTCATTGTAATATTTTTTTACTAACAAAACAATTAACCTGATCAAATTATTAATATACAGTAAATATTTTTAAATTACAAAGGAAAAATTTAATTTGGAAGGAGAATAGTGAAAAACAGAATCTGTCTTTTTCTTCTGTTTCCCTATCTACTCATAACTTCCCATCCCGTCAAATCCCTGGTCCATTTTTATTAAGTTCTTCTGAGAAAAATAAATGGAAAGTTCAAATGGGCTTTTGAAAAAAAAAAAAAGTAGAAAATTTGTTGTTAGAAACAAAGTGATACATAGGTTTATATACAAAGGTTTTATGATATAAACATTAATTTGTTCTACTTTCTTATAGAAACAGATTAAGACAAATCAATCTTAAATTCATGAAAAGTTAGATTATGGGTAAGAACGAACTTCTTCATAACATGGATTGTCAAATTCTGGATGTTTTTATATTTGTCTTTTACTGTGTTTCACTGAGCAGGGTTAGAAGAAAGTGGTATGGTTAAAAACAGTGACAGGAGACAGATTTGAATTCTAACTCTGTCACTTTACTAGATGGCTGTTCTTGGTAAGTTACTTAGGACTTCAGAATCTAATATATAAAATGGAGATGATAAAACCTACACACACTTGTTTTACAGGGTTCTAGAATCCTTAGGGATCATATGACAGATGCTGTATGGAAAATTTAATGAGTACAAACTTGTGTTGGGCATAAGGGAATTCCTATGAATATGACAGTGTCTCTATTTGGAGAAATTTATAGAGTTTAGTAAAGGTGACAGCCATGTATATAAATATTTCAACAGAATGAGGTTTATATGGGGTATCATAGAACACCACCACCCAATGGAACTTTCTGAGATGATAGAAATATTCTTTATCTGTGCTGCCCAACAAAATAGCTGCTAACTTCATGTGGCTATTAGGCACTTGAAACATAGCTGTGCGACTGAGAAAATGCATTTTGAATTTTATTTAATTTTAATTAGTTTTAAATTTAAATTGAAATAGCCCCATGTGGCTAGTGTCTACCCTATTGGGTAGTGCAGCTACAGAAAAACAAGGGAGCTTATAGCCATTGGGGGGTTCAGGGAAGGCTTCCTGGACAAGATGAGAGTACCCAAAAGTTAGCCAATTTAACATAAAGAAGCAAGAATTTAAAACAGATTATTTTAAAAATGTACTTAAAAATATATTTGGCATTTAAGAAAAAAGTTTCAGGGTTTAAAATCTGCATTAGTTTAGCCTGCATTCAATATGCCTCTCCTTCCCTTCTACAGTTATCTTACAGTGAAGCTTTCTAAACCAGAAGGCCACAATATCAAAAACTGCTGCTTGAAGCAGATCCTCTTAGAATTTTCCATGAATGCAGATTCCCTAAAAACAAAACTAAAGTCAATTTTGTTCAGGAGACTGGTGAAGAGTGAACACTCATGTTGGCACATGTGAAATTGGGAGATGGTTGTTCATCTTGCTTCTTGGCCTTACCTCACTTTTCGGGTTTGTACTCCCTCTCCACAGTTATCTCCCATATTCACAAAGGTCACCTTGCAGACGCTCCATGGCTCTGTAACCCATATGTACTGGTTGCAGTCACTGTGGCACGGGACAACCTCATACACCTGAAACACACATGGTTCTCAGCGATCTCAGGAAATCCGATGAGAATGAGAGAGAAGATTCCCACACCACAACAGTCATTAATTCACTGTCAAGCTACTTTCATTCCTCTCCTTTATTGTTCATTATTCTAAAATAGGAATAGAGAGAAATCTCTTGAGAGTTCTAGTAGTAAAGGGCAGGGCTGGCTGTGTGGTATTTTGTTGCTCTGCTCTTACGTTGCAGGTATGGATCTGCCCACTGGACCACGTTAGATACACTAGATATTTTCCTGTATGGACCCTTCCTGTACTAGACTGTAATCTTCTGGACCTTCTGCCTTGTTCACAGTTTTGTATGTCTTCAATACTTAGCCCAGGGTGCTCACATGTTAGGCACTCAATAGAGATTTGTTGAATAAATGAATGAATCAATGAATGAGAAAATAAACATAGCTGTTTTCCAAATAAAAGTAATTTGACCTGCTTTCTAGGGTTTTTTTTTTGTTTCATACAGGAAACTAAGTTAAAAGATAAACACGATGAAATAAAGCCATCTTAAAAGTAATCCTTAATCATTTAGAGCTTGGAAGCAAGGTCTGAAACTGGTCTCATATAGCTACAGCCCAAAGCAGTAAGGGCCAGATGAAACAAAGCAAATTGCCTGTGCTCTGGTGTCTATAAAGACTTAGAGCCCTACGGTGTGTGTGTGTGTGTGTGTGTGTGTGTGTGTGTGTGTGTGTGTGTGTGTGTGTGTGTTTGATTTCAGGATTTTTAGAACAATGAACCAATTATGCTCTTTTCTCAATGAGGAAAATAACTAAAGAAAGAAAATAAATGGCCCATAATCAACTGCAACCAAGCTGACTCAACCATTAAAGTAAAACTTTAAAAAATATTTTCATATTACATGATAGTCCAATTCTATTTCTTATATTACACACACACATATACACATACCCAGAAACTATACCATGTGAATGTTTTATGTAACTAATTCCAAAAAATATAGTTTTAAATAGCCTTTTGGAGCCATTCTTTTGTGCCAATTTTGGTGCAGTAAAAACACAAGTAAAATTAACAAAGTGGACCTATCCCAAATAGGAAAAAGACACTGCCTGGTGGTCTCATGGTTAGGATTCAGTGCTCTCCCCAAAAAGGAATATAAAATATGCACTGTTGGAGTTAGATTCTGCAATTATTGCCGTAAGTGACCTCATTCACACTTGGGTGCTGTATTAAAATAGGAGTAAATATCATAGGGTAAAAAAACATTACCCTACAAACCGTGCAGAAGGAAAAAATTGAAGGGGAAATGCTGTTCCTCCTAATCCTTTGATGGTTTTCCTCTTAATCTCCTATGTCGGCATGAATACAAATCAGTTCAGTGCAATCCCTACCCACCCATTCTCAGCCCACCTGCACCTTTCCCCTGTCCCTCTGAAAAACATGAGAGCATTAATAAGGGATGTCATTACTGTGTCAAGCCTGTTCTCCCCACCACTTCACCTCAGGCCCTGATAGTAAAATGAGGAAACACAGGAAACCATACTAGGAAATAAGGGAATAGCTACAGGAAAAAAAATGTTTAATGGAATATGTGGTATTTTCTCCCTGTAAAACATAAAAGACAATAGCAGATAAAGATATATGTTCTCAGAAATCAGGAATTATTTCACATAAGCCAGGCACAGAAAGAGAAATACGACATGTTCTCATATGTGGAAGCTAATAAAAACTAACTAAATAAATACACAAACAAATAAATGTGGGGGAAGACACAACCATCCCAATTATTCCTTTAACTTGTTAAGATAAGTGAACAGATATGATGTTGATGGGGGAAGGAGCAGGGGAGAGCGAGGGGAGAAAGGGTGGAATTGGTAAAGGGCCACGAAAATCAACTACATTGTACACTGATAAATTAAAAAATAAATAAATATTTTTTTAAAAAAGAAATCAGGAATTAAAAAAAAAAAAAGCACTCTATTAGGAACCATGAAGCTTAAGAGTTCTTACCTGGGCCTGGAGTAGTGTTCAACAGGAATGAAGAAAAGGGAGAGAAACAAAGACAAGTAAAAATGTCAGTATATGATGAGAAAAACTCATGTTCTAAGTTTCAAGTAATATTATCCATATATAAAAGCTTACTTTTTTTTTTTTTTTGTAAAAGAATAGGCCATTTTTTCTGAGGCCCTAAAAGTGAAAAACCAACTACTTATTATTGTTGAAAGGAAAGATACACAAATGGGTGCACAGCCAAGGACAGGGTTAGATGGGCAGCATGAAGAAATCTTAGAAACTGAATTGACCTCAAAGTACATCTCACGGGGGATTGATATACGATTGAAAATAACTTGTGATCCAACTTGTGAATCGACGATTATCTGCCTATTGACCTATCTGTAGATGGATCTCTCCATCCATTGATCTTAATCAGTCGATGCATCTGTTTTGTAGGAAATCAGGATTTGAGGATTTGCTTCCTCACCTGAAAATGAAACCTCAGAGACCATTTTCAAGTTAAAGAACCACTGATTATTCTATTGAGGAATGTCTAATTGTAGGACAAATCTATATGATATAAATTTTTCAATATTGACACAAAATTTTGCATATTCTTTTCATTTCCTAAAGATTTTACTAGTACATAAATCCTTAAAAGTTTCTATTTTTTTATGTAGAACATTTATGCTGAAAGTCAAGTTTTCAAAAATCTATTATTTCTTGTTATAACTTTGATTTTTCCATTGTTTCTGTCCGACAATACCTCCATCAAGCTGGTAACAAATATCCTTATCAAACTCTGCATCAAATCATACGCAAGCAAATGAATATGAATATAATTCAATAAAGAGAAAATGCCAAGGCAAGCAGTTCATTTTCACTGCCAATCTGACTGGCTGTACACATGCACACATACACACATGCGCACATGCGCACATACATGCATGCACACATACACACATGCACACATACACACATGCGCACGTGCGCATATGCACACATGCTCACATACGCATATGTGCACATGTACACATACACACATGCGCACATGCGCACATGCACACATGCAAAGTGTAATGGGTAATGGGTATGTGTAGAATTTCTCTCGATCAGAACTGTGGATAATACTTTATTAAATTTAAATGTGCTACTGGAAATTAAAGATTTCACAACTTGTAGAGAAATATTCTTTCGTATTATAAACATTTCAGTTCAGGTATTCTGTTGCACATATATATAATTGGAATCGTGGAAATGAATTTTCTTCTTTGGAAATACTCATTATCGTCTTAGAAATGCAAAATGCGCTATGACAGGGAAGCTCCATCACCAGTAGATGGCAGAAGTGGAGTGTATTATTCACCCTCAGTTGCATTTAAAAGATAAATGGAGCAGCTTCACTTGGGAAAAATCAAGATTCTTTGAGTGTACTTTCTATGGAATTTAATTCTCTCATGTCTTCATCATTATTTACTTTATTTAAAAGTTCTTTATGTTTTCTCTACAGTGTACTTTTATTGTTATGAAGTAATTTGAGTTAATAGGGAAGAAAAGTATGTGTACTGGTAAGCAGTGTGTTTGGAGATTAAAATTAGACAGTCTATGTATGTAGGAAACATTTGTACACTTTTAAGGACTCGGTTCATTTGATTGTGACAAATTCGAACACACAACTTAATCTCTACACATATTATATGAAATTCTTTCTTTGTTAATTCACATGTAGGCCAAACATGGTAATAATTGTCTGGTACATTATATTACATTTAAATTAGTTACAATTCCCCCATCAGCCTTTTTACTTTTTATGTCCAATAGAATAGGAGTAACAACTATTAGCAGCAGCTAACAAAGTGTACATCCAAAGTCAAATAAAGTTTCCAATAAAATTGAAAAAGGCCATTGACTAATTTGATAGCACACTTACAGTCACTATGAGGCCATCTTTATACTGTTTTTCCTCCATTTATTTTATATCAAACAAATTTAAATGAATAAACAGTATACTTTTCCTAACTTAAGACCCAAACCCATATATTTCGTTTGATTTTTTAAATTTAAATCGTTGGTAATTGAGATGTCTTTTCTGAGAGTCTAGGGAAAGAATAAGAATAAGACAATCTCAGCATACAAGGATAAGACACAATTTTATGATAGATTGAATACCTTGACATTATTTCAAAGATAGGTGTCATTTTTCTCTTTATTGAATTATATTCATATTCGTACAATTGCAGGGTATTGAATCTCTAGAGAATACAGGCATAATACATGTAACTTGGAATTTTAATACTGTACATGTATTTACTAAGGCATTCTAATGAGAAAATGGGTCAAATTTCTTACTCGAGTTATTATTTACTTCATTTTGGAGAAAAAAACAGAACAACATGAATCTAAAAAATATCTTAATACTCTCGATAATAGAAAATACCTGGTTAACATGATCCAGTTTGGGGCAAGGCCTTCCTCCATTATATGGTTTTTCACGCAGCCATTTAGAGCGAACTTTCACACCACTCCCACAAGACTTGCTGCAGCGTGACCAGTTGGACCATTCACTGAGCTTGCAGTCTGAGGGACAGGGGATGATGCAGGCTTCCTCAATGTAACCTGAGCAGAGAAAAATGAGACAAGAACCATCTCCTCCACATGTCACTCTCCCACTACCACCCACCATTCGAGCTCATTTACACGGTCCAAGTTTGACTTGACAGCAACATGCAAATGCAGACGTTTCCATTGTTAGGGACTCAAATTAAATTCTGCAGGCAAATGACACATACAGTGACTCTGTTAAAATAACAGCTTAGCAGCTGCCATATGATCTGCTTAGGATTCATGCTCACCATATTCTAACATTTCTGACTTTCTGACAGCTTGTGTTTAATTGACAATAACCTGTCTGCTGCCATATCATTCTCATGCTGCCAGAATGATGCATTAAAAAAAATTATGACACAGTTTTCTATAAAGCCCTATCTGTTAATGTCACACAAGTTCACGTTTCTGAGTCCATGCAATGTTCTTCCTCAAGAAGAAAAGCCAATCCCTCAATCGATATCCAAAAAGGAATCGTTTATCTTAGCACCTTACATTTCCCCTTCTTTGAAAATCGAGTCTAAGGAAGAAAAATGAAGGATGCTAAATAAATAATGTCTCATATTTTTATAGTGATGTCAATTTCAAAGAGACTTCACATCTTATCTCCATTTGATTCTCTTGAAAATCTTATAAATGTATCAGGCAGGTACTGATATTCTAATGGCCAGATAAGAAAATAAATGCAAAAAGATAACCCACAAGTCCAAGGTCACACAGTAAGAGATGGGAAAAGGTTTTCTGAGGTCTAGTCGCATTCCATCAAATCACACAGCCAGTTAAATAGTCTACAGATTTGATTTGGAAAATGGGAACATTTTTCTTGACTAGTCCTTCACTAAGAACTTGGCATTTCACAGTATCAACTTATCACTATTATTTTTTTTTAAGGCAAATATGTGTAAAGAGAAAAATTCCTCTGGTCAAGAATCGAATGCATGGTTGTCCTCTGTAACACTCTTACTGTGGAGAGAGGCTGTTCCTGGTACAAGAAAACAATTTGTGTCACCATTTTACCTCAGTAGCAGAGATTCAATTCTGAAAATGATTATAATATAAACAATTTATACTAGGGAACTCTAGGTGGATAAAATAATGTTTGGAGATAAAATTCATATATACCATAAAAATCAACTCATGTTTTAGATTTTAGTATATTTGTTTGCTGAGTTGTACAACCATCACTGCCATCTAATTTTAGAACATTTTTATCACCCCCAAAAGAAACCTTATACTTAATTGCAATCACTTCCCATTTCCCCTTCTTTATTCTCTGCCAGTCACCAATCTACTTTCTGATTTTATAAATTTGCTTATTCTGTACATTTCATGTAAATGAAATCAAACATTATGTGTTTTTTCTGTGATTGGATTCTTTTACTTAATATAATGTTTTCAAGGTTCATCTGTGTTGTAGCATGTATCACTCCTTTTTACTTCTTTCTATGATTGAATAATATTCTCTTGTATGAGTTTACTACATTGTTTGTCCATTCATCAGTTAACAGAGATTTGAGTTGTTTCCACAACTATTTTGTCTATTATAAATAATGCTGCTGTGAACATCTGTGTACAAGTTTCTTTGTGAACATAGTTTTTCAATTCCCTCGATACATACCTAGGAGTGGAATTGCTTGGTCATATGGTAGCTCTACATTTAACTTTTTGAGGAACTGTTGAACTGTTTTCCAAAGCGACTGCAGCATTTTACGTTTCACTAGCAATGTATGAGGGTTCCAATTTCTACAAATCATTATCAGACTTGTTATTGTCTATCTTTTTTATTTTAGTATTCTTTGAAGAACTCAAGTTTTAAATATTAGTGAAGTCCAATTTATCTATGTTTCCTTTGGTTGTTTTTGCTTTGGTGTCATATCTAGGAAAACATTACCTAATCCAGAGTCACAAAGATTTATACCTATGTTTTCTTCTAAGAGTTTTATATTTTTAGATCTTATATTTAAGTATATATTTCATTTTGAATTAATTTTTGCATATGATGAAAGGCACGAGCCCAACTTCATGCTTTTGCATGTGGCTATTGAGTTATCATGGCCCTATTTGTTGAAAAGTTATCCTTTCTCCCATTGAATTGTTTTGGTACCCTTGCTGAAAATCAATTCACCATAAATTTAAGTGTTTTTTTTTTTTTTGACTCTAAATTGTATTCCATTTATCTGCATGTTTAGTCTTGTGCCAGTAGCACACTTTCTTAACTACTGTAACTTTGTAGAAAGCTTTAAAACCCCGAAGTGTGAGTCTTGCATGCTTTGTTCTTTTTCAAGATGGTTTTGGCTATTTTGAATCCCTTGTATTTCCATATGTATTTCAGAATCAGCTTGTCAATTTCTGCATAAAAAGGCAGCTAGGATTTTGATAGGAATTGCATTGAATCTGTTGATCAATTTAAGAGTATTGCCATTTTAATAATTCAGGTACATGAGATTTCTTTCCATTTCTTTCAATGATGTTTTGTAGTTTTCACTGTATAAGTTGTGAACTTATTTTGTTAAATTTGTCCATAAGTATTTTTTTTTACTCTAAGTAGATTTAAAGAAGAACCAACAATTATTGATTTCTTTAATTATCACCTTTAAACCAAAATGGCAAATTTAGTCTGTAAACTCAAACTGTCTTGGATTAAAATAGTGCTAAAATGCTAGCCAGTTTACTATATAGTATTTCCTAGCCTTGCCTAATCATAAATTACCTCAGGAACATGTTAAAAGTATAGGCTTCTACACCTCCTACCACCACCAGACATTCTGATATAGTTCATCTGGAATAAAGTCTGATATTTGGAAATTAAAATCCCTCTTTTTTTAATTGAAATTTTTTTTATTAAGATAATTGCAGACTCACATGCAATTGCAAGAAATAATAGAGGTTCTTTTTACAATTTCCCAGTTTCCCCAATGATAATTAGAGTATAATTTCAACCAAGATATTGACATTAATACAATCCATTGAGTTTACTAAGGTTTCATCAGTTTTACTTGTCCTCATTTGGGTGTGTAGGACTGAAGTTAGGGCACACTGTTTTAAGAAACAGGCAGAACAAGTAAAATCTAGAACAGAAACAGATTTATGGCATGTCTTTTTATGTATTATCTCCTATACTTTCCTCAAAAATATGCATCACTTGTTTTAAAATTTTTATTGTAGTATCCATATGTAAAAGTGCAGCTTTCACAAGTGTAAAGTTCACTGAACACATCCATAAAACCAACACTCCCTAAGTGTTCTCTTCCAAACACTATCCCTTCCTCCAAGAGCAACTGCTATTCTGACTTCTTAGAATGCTGGATATTTTGCTTTTTAAAAATGTTATGTAAAAGAATCATATACTGTATGCCCATTTGTGCTGGCCTTCTTTCACTCTACATCATGATGGGAGATTCATACATATTGTGGCATGTTGCTGAAGACTTTTTTTTTCAAGAATAAAATATTTTACTATAGGTAGAGACTGTGGGTTCCTGTTTTTTAAAATTTTTATTATTTATTATTAGCATATTCATTATTACAAATCATGATTTTTCTTTATGCCTTTTACCCGACCGATCACTCCCCAAACCCCTCCCTCCCACCCCCCATCTCTATTATCCTTAGGTTTGTTCTCTCCTTCTGAAAATTCAACGTATTGTTTTTGTCTTTCTCTTTCCTTTTTTCTTTCTGTGTTTCTTTCTCTCTTTCTTTTTTCTTTCCTTCTTTCTTAGCACCCAGTTATGAGTGAGAACGTGGTAATTTTTTACTGTGACTGGCTTATTTCACTTAACATAATTTTCTACAGACTCATCCATGTTGCTGCAAATGGCAGAATTTCATTCTTTAATATGGCTAAGCAGTATTCCATTGTGTATATATACCACATTTTCCTTATCCAGTCATCCACTGACGGACACTTACATTGGTTCCATATTTTGGCTATTGTAAATAGAGCTGTGATGAACATGGAAGTGCAGGTATCCCTTCTATATGATGATTTCCATTCCTTTGGATATATACCCAGTAGTGGGCTTGCTGTATCATATGGTAGTTCTACCTGTAGTAGTCTGAGAAACCTCCATACTGTTTTCCAAGTGGTTGTGCTAATTTACAGCCACACTAACAGTGTAGAAGAGTTCCCCTTTCCCTGCATCCTTGCCAACATTTGTTATTGTTGGTCTTTTTAATAATGGCCAGTCTAACTGGGGTGAGATGATATCTCAATGTGGTCTTGATTTGAATTTCTCTGATGACTAGTGATGCTGAGCATTTTTTCATGTACTTGTTGGCCATTTGTATATCTTCCTTTGAAAAATGCCTATTCATCTCCTTTGCCCACTTTTTAATTGGATTATTTGTTTCTTTACCATATAGTTGTTTGAGTTCTTTGTATATTCTGGATATTAATCTCTTGTCAGATGTATAATTTGCAAATATTTTCTTTCTCCCATTCAGTAGGTTGTCTTTCCATTCTGTTGATTATTTCCTTTGCTGTGCAAAAGGTTTTTAGTGTGATATAATCCTATTTGTTTATTTTTCGTTTGTTGCTTGTGCTTTTGGGGGCTTATTCATAAAGTCTTTGCCAAGTCCTACTTCCTGGAGTGTTTTCCCTATGTTTCCCTTTAGTAGTTTATTCTAATTGATGCATGGCATCCTACTGTGTGAACAATACTATGGTCTATTTATGCCATAATAAGTTACTGAAATATTTCTAGAGGAACCGTATTTTTCCACCTTGATAAACTGCAAAATTTCTGTCAAAAGTAAACCTTTAATCATTTATTATTCAGTAATTATAATTAAAAATAGAATCACATGATCTTTCATGTCACTGCTTCACAGAGTAACAGATAAATGGAAATTCTTTCTTTCCATTTTATCTGTTGAAATATTATGGCATTAGTGGAATTTAAGATGTATGACTTCAGACTGATTCACATTGTACTATCAAGGAAGGAGATATAAAACTTTTATGTCTATTTTTCCAATAGCATATTCCAGAAAACATCTCTCAAATAAAACTC